TGCGCGGCTCCTTCCGCGTTTTGGTGGTGGAAGCGCTCGTTCCGAGCGTTTTTCTTCCGCCGGGTCATGTGGCTGACCTTGTCTTGTCCTATTACCAAGCCAGCAAGGGCCTGGGAGGGTTGCAAGCATCATCGGTCATCGGCGCTCGCGAATGAAGAGCGCACGCTGCACTTCCTGCACATGTGCGGCTCGTTCCGCGTTCTGGGGGTGGAAGCGCTCGTTCCGAGCGTTTTTCTTCCGCCAGGTCACGTGGCTGCGCTTGTCTGGTCCTATTACCAAGCCAGCAAGGACCTGGGAGGGTCGCAAGCATTATCGGTCATCGGCGCTCGCGAATGAAGAGCGCCCGCTGCACTTCCTGCACATGTGCGGCTCCTTCTGCGTTTTGGGGGTGGAAGCGCTCGTTCCGAGCGTTTTCTTCCACCTGGTCACGTGGCTGACCTTGTCTGGTCCTATTTCCAAGCCAGAAAGAGCGTGGAGGGTTGCAAGCATCATCGGTCATCGGCGCTCGCGAAAAGAGCGCCCGCTGCACTTCCTGCACATGTGCGGCTCCTTCCGCGTTTTGGGGGTAGAAGCGCTCGTTCCGAGCGTTTTTCTTCTGTCGCGTTACGTGGCTGCGCTTGTCTGGTCCTATTGCCAAGCCAGGAAGGGCGTGGGAGGGTCGCAAGCAGCATCGTTCATCGGCGCTCGCGAATGAAGAGCGCTCAATGCACTTCCTGCACATGTGCGACTCCTTCCGCGTTTTGGGGTGGAAGCGCTCGTTCCGAGCGTTTTTCTTCCGCCAGGTCACGTGGCTGCGCTTGTCTTGTCTTATTTCCAAGCCAGCAAGGGCCTGGGAGGGTTGCAAGCATCATCAGTCATCGACGCTCGCGAATTAAGAGCGCCCGCTGCACTTCCTGCACATGTGCGGCTCCTTCCGCGTTTTGGGGTGGAAGCCCTCGTTCTGAGCATTTTACTTCCGCCGGGTCACGTGGCTGCGCTTGTATTGTCCTATTACCGAGCCAGCAAGGGCCTGGGAGGGTTGCAACCATCATCGGTCATCGGCGCTCGCGAATGAAGAGCGCCCGCTGCACTTCCTGCACATGTGCGGCTCCTTCCGCCTTTTGGGGGTAGTAGCGCTCGTTCTGAGCGTTTTTCTTCCGCCGGGTCACGTGGCTGCGCTTGTCTGGTCTTATTTCCAAGCCAGCAAGGGCCTTGGAGGGTCGCAAGCATCATCGGTCATCGACGCTCTTGAATGAAGAGCGATCGCTGCACTTCCTGCACATGTGCGACTCCTTCCGCGTTGTGGGGTGGAAGCGCTCGTTCTGAGCGTTTTACTTCCGCCGGGTCATGTGGCTGCGCTTGTCTTGTCCTATTACCAAGCCAGCAAGGGCCTGGGAGGGTTGCAAGCATATCGGTCATCGGCGCTCGCGAATGAAGAGCGCCCGCTACACTTCCTGCACATGTGCGGCTCCTTCTGCGTTTCGGGGGTGGAAGCGCTCGTTTCGAGCGTTTTTCTTCCGCCGGGTCACGTGGGTGACCTTGGCTTGTCCTATTACCAAGCCAGCAAGGGCGTGGGAGGGTTGCAAGCATCATTGGACATCGGCGCTCGCGAATGAAGAGCACCCGATGCACTTCCTGCAGATGTGCGGATCCTTCCGCGTTTTGGGAGTGGAAGCGTTCGTTTCGAGCATTCTTATTCCGCCGGGTCACGTTGCTGCGCTTGTCTGGTCCTATTACCAAGCCAGGAAGGCGTGGAGGGTTGCAAGCATCATCGGTCATCGGCGCTCGCGAATGAAGAGCGCCCACTGCACTTCCTGCACATGTGCGGCTCCTTCCGCGTTTTGGGGGTAGAAGTGTTCGTTCCGAGCGTTTTTCTTCCACCGGGTCACGTGGCTGCACTTGTCTGGTCCTATTACCAAGCCAGGAAGGGCGTGGGAGGGTCGCAAGCACATCGTTCATTGGCGCTCGCGAATGAAGAGCGACCGCTGCACTTCCTGCACATGTGCGGCTCATTCCTCGTTTTGGGAGTGGAAGCGCTTGTTCCGAGCGTTTTTCTTCCGCCGGGTCACGTGGCTGCGCTTGTCTGGTCCTATTACCAAGCCAGCAAAGGCGTGGGAGGGTTGCAAGTATCATCGGTCATCGGCGCTCACGAATGAAGTGTGCCCGCAGCACTTCGTGCACGTGTGCAGCTCCTTCCGCATTTTGGGGGTGGAAGCGCTCGTTTCGAGCTTTTTTCTTCCACCGGGTCATGTGGCTGCGCTTGTTTGGTCCTATTACCAAGCCATCTAGGTCCTGGGAGGGTCGCAAGCATCATCGGTCATCGGCGCTCGCGAATGAAGTGCGCCCGCTGCACTTCTTGCACGTGTGCGGCTCCTTCCGCATTTTGGGGGTGGAAGCGCTCGGTCCGAGCGTTTTTCTTCCGCCGGGTCATGTGGCAGCGCTTGTCGGGGCCTATTGCCAAGCCAGCAACGGTGTGGGAGGGTTGCGAGCATCATCGGTCATCGGCGCTCGCGAATGAACAGCGCCTGCTGCACTTCGTGAACATGTGCGGATCCTTCCGTGTTTTCGGGCTAGAAGCGCTCGTTCCGAGCGTTTTTCTTCCGACGGGTCACGTGGCTGCGCTTGTTTGGATCTATTGCCAAGCCAACAAGGGCGTGGGAGGGTTGCGAGCATCATCGGTCATCGGTGCTCGCGAATGAAGAGCGCCCGCTGCACTTCCTGCACATGTGCGGATCCATCCGCGTTTTGGGGCTGAAAGCGCTTGTTCCGGGCGTTTTTCTTCCGGCGGATCACGTGGCTGCGCTTGTCTAGGCCTATTGCCAAGCCAGCAACGGTATGGGAGGGTTGCGAGCATCACCGGTCATCGACGCTCGCGAATGAAGAGCGCCCGCTGCACTTCCTGCACATGTGCGGATCCTTCCGCGTTTTGGGGGTGGAAGCGCTCGTTACGAACGTTTTTCTTCCACCGGGTCACGTGGCTGCGCTTGTTTGGGCCTAATGCAAAGCCAGCAAGGACGTGGGAGGGTTGCGAGCATCATTGGTCATCGGCGCTCGCGAATGAAGAGCGCATGCTGCACTTCCTGCACATGCGCGGATTCTTCCGCATTTTAGAGCTGGAAGCGCTCGTTCCGAGCGTTTTTCTTCCACCGGGTCACGTGGCTGCGCTTGTTTGGGCCTATTGCCGAGCCAGTAAGGGCGTGGAAGGGTTGCAAGCATCATCGGTCATCGCATGTGCAGGAAGTGCAGCGGACGCTCTTAACGTTGTTGCATATTTGGTTGGCCCACACTTAAATACACCTACCTGAGCATTTTTAGCTTGGTTCGCGTGCACAAAAAAGTTGGGCGCATGCGACGACGGCTGTGTCTGCCGAGAAAATCCAAGGAAGCGCATGCATCCCTTTAGGCATATGGAAAAGCATCGAACGACCTGAACGTTGTTGCATATTCGGTTGGCCCATCTCAGATACATCTGCCTGAGCACTTTCAGCTTGGTTCGCGCACACATAAATGTTCGGCGCTTGCGATGACGGAAGTGTGTGACGACAAATGCCAAGGAAGCGCATGCTTCCCTGTAGGCGTAGGGAAAAGCATCGAACGACCTGAACGTTGTTGCATATTCGAGTGGCCCATGCTCAAATACACCTACCACAGCACTTTCACTAGGTTCGCGCACACAGAAAAGTTTGGCGCCTGCGATTATGGCTGGGTCTGCCGACAAATGCTAAGGAAGCGCTTACACTTTATTCACACCTTTAGCATATCGATTCATGCGTGCCCTACGAAAAGTTGAACTGTGCAAGTGAGATAATGAGTACTTTTCAAAGGGAGGTGTTGCTTGAATGCCATTGGCGGGACACCAGAACGCGCGGTTCGCGAACGGAGCTCTGACGATTTGCGACCGAAGCGAGGCCCTCTGACGACTCGACCATGGGAGTTTCCCGCAAATTCTACCACAAGATGTAGAGGCTCGAAGCCTCAATCTACGGTCACGATGTTACCAAGATTGTCGATTTTGACCAGTTGTGTGAGGCGGGGCGAGAAGGGGACACTGCATCCCTCAGGCGCTTTGCGCGCCTGTCGCGGAATGGCGCCTGCTTCGCATCCGATGCTCCTTGGGAACATCGGCAGCAGCAGGCACAAACATCATCTGTAGGAAACGGGACGGGAGAGAGCAGGAAGCGAATGCTATGGATGGAACACCACCATCACAGCTGTTTTTTCTGTTGTCTTGGTAGCAGCTTCTGCCACTAGCATAACCCCATGAGCAGTGCATGCGTGTGCTCTCCATTCTTCTTTCAGACTGGTGTCTCTCTCATGGCACCCCAGCACTGCAGATGTTGTGGAGCAGTTGTCACCGTTTCAAGACACTGATCCCCACATTGTACTTTTAAGTTGTTCGCATGCCTACTATGTAGTGAGTTGTTGCTCGGTCTTAGTTACTGGTTGATCCTATTGGACCGAGGCGCGTACCTCAGAACGACACTGCTGTGACAGGTGTCGGCCATTCTGAACTCACGCCAGCATTAGACTCCACCCAATCAACGCAACGTTGATTATTTCGCCGACCAGTTATATTATGCATTAGGACCGTGATTAAGAGCGTGATCAGTGAGCGTGACCAGCTTAGAACTAATATACGCGGCCATGGACGCGGCATCGACGGCAGCCTTTCAGGATAATTTAGAGGACAAATCCCGAGAGGAGATCAAGCGGCTGTGTCGCCAACTCGGCGTCAGCAGCCGAGCAGCGACGGTGGGTGGTCCATCTGTTGCCTAACACACGGTTGTTGCTGCGTGTTCTGTTTTCCGCCGTGCTTTCCACGTAGTGCTCGTTTCCGTTGTCACAGATCAGTTCACTTCATTAGCAACGAGGATTTGCTTTCGAAACAACACACCCTCAACCTGTTATCTTTCGCATCCTCCCGTTGTCACCATATAACTCCACCCTTATTAACCTTGTCACGCACCCCCCACCCCTCGTCTCTTCGTCTAACCCCCGCCGCTTTTCTGTTCTCCACGGCAATGAACAGACGTCGATGCTGGTCGGGAGAATCAGGGCTCGCCTCCACGCCTCAGTTGCTTGCAACCCCGCACCAAGGTCGGCCTTTCCCATTCCCTTCAGTATCCCATCCGTTCCGTTTCTCACTCTTTTCTCGCGTACGCAGCAGCTACTAACTCCACCGGTCCATGCATTTCACTTCCTCCTTCCCCCTTCGTTGTTCCTTCTTCGTCTGTCCAGCGTTCGGTTCGCCTTCCCGTCTTCCCCTCACCATCCAGTTCCTCTATCTCGTGTCTCGGTATTTCTCCCTGTTCAGCAGCAAACCTTCTCTGTGCGACAATGACGTATCCTTCCACAACGAGCCTCACGCCGAGCCTCGGAACGAGACATGTAACCAGAGCAAGAGTTCGAGCCAGCCGCAGGAGAAAACGCGCACTTCTCGGCTGTTCGGAGGGCTGATTCGGCGCTGCAGCCCTGCGCGACGACACGAGAATGCGCAGACGCCACAGAAGCAGCCGCAGCAGCAGGAGCAGCGACTGCTGCAACAACAGCATCAATATCAGCATCAGGGGCATCAGGTGTTGCATAATCAACGCAGGAAGGAGGGAGGTGGAGCAGCAGCAGCAGCAGCAGCAGCAGCAGCAGGACCGCCCGTGCTCGTCAGCGGGAGGAACGTGAGCACCCACGGCACACAGCCGTCCGTATCGTATGCTCGCACGACGGATCCGTCTGTTAGAGAGGCGGTGGCGCGTGCTTATAGCGAGGTTGCTGGTACGTACGCCAGCTCGCTGCATTTCGGCGGAAGTGCAGCGAGCGAGGGATCAGAAGATGAGGTGGCTCAGGAGGTGAGGGGACACGTGGCGGCGGATTGCGACGAACACGAGGTAGAGCAACGCAAAAGACACGTGTCTAAAGAAGGCGAAGGACACGTGGCTGGGGGTGGGAAAGGACACGTAGCAGCAGCTGACTTGATCACGAGTGACAAGGGTGCGCTGGGCGTGAGTGGGAGGAGCAAGGCGGTGAGGAAACCAAAGGAGCGGGTGGGGCCGGAAGTGGAGGAGTCGAAGCGGCGAATTCTCGCGGCGTTCCTGAGAGACATGGACGGCGCCGACAAGCCTGCCGGCCACGCGGCGAGCCCCGTGCAGGTTAATCGGCCGGAAGAAGAGAGGCCGTCGGGGGAGATGCAGAGTGGTGATGTTGATGATGAAGGCAAGGAGAGTGGGGAGGCTGTGGGCGGTGATGAGATGATGCAGGGCGGGAGAGCGGCGAGGGGTGTAGTTGACTGTGACCCTTGTGACAGTGTCGATGAGCACTGTAACGGGGACGAGGACGGCGAGCTCGCCGGCGGCGAGGAGCACTTGGATGACAGCGAGGAGTATAATAGCGAGGATGAGTTGCACAGTGATGGGGACGAGGCGGCGGATAAGAGCGACGCGCCCGTGGACCTCGAGTCGCTCGTGGCCATGAGCGGGCGCTCGCACCTCACCGGCATGGCGGGCGCGCGAGCTGGGAAGACGAACCGGGAGTACGAACAGGACGAGACTGCGCTTCAAGCCGACGCTACCGGAGATGCTGTTGCCGCTGATTCTCTCGCAGAAGCTACCTCTGCTGCCATTCGAACCGAGTCGCTCGCCGCGAAGGCGCACAGCGCCAAGGCGGAAGGGCGTGCGGACGCGAACGCGCAGGGCGGCGCTCCCCTGTCCACTCCGCCGTCTGGCGTCCCCCCCGCCGCCTCGTCGTCCCCGTCTGGTTCCTCGAGCGACTCGCTCGCGCACTCCACGGCCGCCGATTCCATCGCCATGATCGCCTCGAGCTCGTCCGGCGACGATTCCGGCGACTCCCCCACCAGCGACACTCGCACGAGCGATTCCCGTTCCAGCGTCATTCCCGCCGTAGGCAGCACCCGCCGCCTGAATCCCGCTGAGCTGGCGAAAAGCGATTCTGCCGCTGCGGACGGTGGGGCGATGGGCGGGGGAATGTATTCGGGGGGCGCAGGGGAAGTAGGGGAAGCGGACGGCGCGGAGAGGGGCTTGGGGGGAGATGAGCTGGATTCTGGGAAGCTGGATGTTGATGTGAGCGGTGCTGACGTGGCGGATCCTGCGGAGATTGCGGAAAGTCATGACGAGGGTGGCAGCGGGAGAAGGAGCAGGAAGCGGTGGGGCGATTACGTCCCCGTGGGGAATGAGGGAGGGGGGCGCACGATGTGGGGCGGGGGTGGCGCGGCGGAAGGAACGGAGATGGAGGGGAGTGCGGGCGGGGGAAGCTTGCGCTTGAGATGGCTGGTACTGGAGGAGGAAGAGGGAGAGGAGGGGGCAGAGGAGGACGAGGAGGAAGAGGAGGAGAAGCGAGAGGAGGAATGGGGAGGCGAGGGGGATGAGGGGCGTGATTCGGAAGAGATGTGCGGCGGGAAGGCGGATGGGAGTGAGGAGGGAAGGGAGTTGGAAGGGGAGTTTGAACCGCATGCATCCCTGCTCCATGCTCCCACCGCCTTGCCTGTCCCCTCCACACCTCCGCCCTCCGTTCTCTCGCCCTCCGTCCCCTCGCCCTCACCGGCCCTCTCACACGAAACCCTGCAAGAAACGCCCCAACCCACTCCGCAGCACCACGCACTACCGGAATCTCCCCAGTTTGTCATGCAACAGCCAAACGATGCCGCCTCATTCAGGCAGACGGGCGGGCAGCAGCAGCAGCAGCAGGGCGGCATGGTGATGGCGGAGTGGGCGCAGCAGCACGAGTACCACCACCTGCAGCCGCCCATGCAGCTGCCCGCCGTGCCCTCCCTGCACAGTAACCTCTCCTCCATCAAGCGCCGCCTCTCCCCGCGCATTCGCAAGCCCACGCGTTTCCTCACCGCCTCCCGCCCCCTCACTCCTCCGCCTTCTAACAGTGGTGCCGCTGCTGCTGCTGCTGCTCCTGCTGCTCCAGTTGCTGGAGCTGGCGCTGGTTTGTGCATCGCTGCTGGTGCTCCATTTGCTGTTGTTGCTGCAGGTGCTTCTTCTGCCGGTGCTGCTCTTGGCCACCCTCCTTTTTCTGCTGCTGCTGCTGCCAATGCAGGTGGTGGTGGTGGTGGTGGGGGAGTCATGTCAGACTGCAACAGGGCTGTTGAGGATAAAATCCAACACACTATGTCACTGGCACCACCAACAGCGCAGCTCATGGGGTCATCATCGCCGTCTGCCCCACAAGCCGCCACCACAGCTCTCTCAAACTCCATCACTCGCTCACCCGCGTGCTCCAGCCAAGAGACGGCGCCTGCCAGCGCCACCCATGTGATCGATCTCGAGGAGTGCTGCCAGTCAGGTGAATCTCGGCCGTCGGATGAATCCGGGCCGTCGACTGACTCGATGTGGTCAGCTGAATCCAGAGCGTCAGCTGGATCTGAATTGTCAGCTGAATCTAGGCCGTCAGCTGAAGATGAAACTTTCGTTAAAACTGATCCTTCAATCAAAACTACGGCGTCAGCTGAATCTCGCCCGTCAGCCGAATCTGGACCGGCAGTGAAATCTGGGCCGTCAGAGGAGGTACCAGCGACCGAGAGGAATGTGATGGACGGAGGAGATAGCAGTCTCTCGGGTGCTGCTGGTGTGGCTGCACACAAACGTGACTATAACGAGCGGTACAGTACTACGGTGGCCGGTGCAGAGAGCAGGAGTGATGTTGAGAGCAAAAAACGAGAGCTGAGCAAGGGGTTTGGGATTGAGGGTGTGGATGCGGAGGAAGGAACGCTCGACCGGGAGTGGCTCGACGCAGTGGGCGTTAGAGAGACAGGTGGGAGCAGTGAAGGAGAGAGGAGCAAGGGGTGTGAGATGGTGGGGAGGGAGAGGGAAGAGGGAAAGTTCGACCGTGCATGGCTCGACGCATTGGGGTTTAGCGAGACAGGTGGAGGGAGGGCTGGAGAGTGGGAAGAGGGAAGGCAGGAGGGAGGGGAGGAGAGGGAAAAGGAGGAATGGATGGAGGTAGAAGAGGAGGAAGGGGAGCTTTTCTCTGTATATGGCAGTGGTACGAGGCAGCATCCCTCCAATGAGGAGGATAGGAATGGGAATGAGGATGGGAATGAGGATGGGAATGGGGATGCGGATGGGAATGGGGATGGGAATGGGAATGGGGATGGGGACAGAAGCGAGGATGGGCATGAGGATGAGAACGAGGATGAGAACGAGGATGAGAGTAAGGATGAGGCGGAGCGTGTGTTTATTGAGATGGTGGAAGGGGAGGGAGTGGCGGCTGGACGAGAATGGGACAGGGCGAAGGGAGCAGGGGAGAGGGAGGAGGAGAGTGGAAGCGATGATGTTAGCGCTGGTGCGCGTGGCACTGCGTTCTCTTCTCAGCCACTCGCAATTCCCCCCCACGCGCTCCACTCAACGCCAGCTGCCATTTCCTCCTTCTGCACGTCCCTCCTCTCCCCTCCGCGCCCTCTCCCCTCCGCCGTCCCTAGCCGTGGCGCGGGAGGGAAACCAACAGCAGCTGGAGCAGCAGATGAGGCTACGTCTGCTGGAGCTGCAGCTGGCAAGAGCAGAAAGGCGGAGGTTGAGGAGAGGCAGGAGGAGGTTGAGCAGGCGGCTGGTGGGAGAGACTGCGAGACCTGGCCGCAGGAAGGCGTTGCCTTTGCTCCTGGTGGCCAGGGCGGGTGCTCTGGGGAAAGGTTGACAGCGAGCTGTGCGAGTAGCGGAGGCGAGGATGGTGGGAGAGAGGGCGTTGAAGATGAGGGTGCAGAGGGGAGCGAGGTGAGCAGCGGTGCAGAGGGGTGGAAGTTGGAAGCAGGCGGGGATGAGAAGGGGGAGAGACGCGAGAGGGAGGAGAGTGGAAGTTCTAAGAGTGAGGAGAGACAAATTGGGGAAGAGGAGGGTAAAGCATCAGAATGTGAAGACGATGCACTAGTCATGGATGGAAGCGCAGATGAGAAGGGAGTGACTGCATTCGAGGAAGAAGAGGCAAAAGACAAGGAGGATGTTGAGGGGGTGGAGGATGAGGAGGAGGAAGTGAGAAGCGGAGGTGCAAGCGGGGACGAGCCAGCGAGTTCGGACGAGGTGACAGAGGAGTGCGAGGGCGCGCAGGAGGAGTGCTCCAGCGACGCAGAGGCTGCGCGTGAGGTTGCACTGCAGGGTTCACAGGAGTCGAGTGAGGGAGTCGAAGAAGCATCTGCGGAGGAGGCAGCAGCAGCAGCGCGCGCATGGGGAGCCGCCTTTGGGGTTGACCTCGCAAGTCAGGAGCACGAGGAATGGAAGGGGAGGAGGCAGGGAGAGGACGTGTTTGAGGAGATTAGCGCCTGGGGTACTGCCTCTGGGGTTGTGGGCTTTGGTAGCAACCAGCCAGGTAGCAGCCAGCCAGGCAATAGCATCAGCAGGTTGACGCCTGCTGTGTCACGGAGGCATGTGATCCGGCCATTCACTGCCAGTCCGTCGCTCAGCCTGCTGGATAACCCCCTCCTCACTGCTCCCGCCGTCCCCACCTCCTCCACAGCTGCTGCCGCGGTCGCTGCTGCTGCTGCTGTTGACGCTGCTGAAAACGCCAATGCTGCCACTGCCCCTGGCCCTGTCACTGCCACTGCTACTACAGCCGCAGCAGGTGAAATCAACCCCTTCCGCCCCCCTGTGCGCCGCCTGGTTCCCTCTGCCTCCTCCCCTGCCCTCCTACTAACCTCCCTTCTAATCAACCGCCCAGCCTCCCCCTCCTCCTTCCCCATCCGTCCTCCTTCCCCCAACGACCCCACTCGCCCGGCCGCTCCTGGCCCCTACTCCTCCCACCCCTCCTCCCCCACTGCTTTCTCCGCCCATCATAGCCGCCCATCTTCCCCCAGCTCCGCCCATCACAGCCGCCCGTCTTCCCCCACCTCCGCGCATGCCAGCCGCCCGTCGTCCCCCACCATTCCCCTGCCCGACCGCCCATGGCTGAAAAGCTCTCTCCGCCGCAGCCTAGAGCGCGCCCAAGCCGCCCAGCTTGCAGCCGCCGCCCTGGCAGCCGTTGAGAGGGCGGATGCTGGTGCGGCGGGGGAAGGGGCGGAGGGTGTGGCTGTGGGGGAGGGGGTGGATGGAGATGGAATGGGGAGCGCGGATGGCATGGGTATTAGAAGTCGTGGGGAAGGAGGAGTGGATGTGGAGAGGCGAGAGCAGGAGGAGAAGCAGGAGAAGCAGGGGGAGGAGAATCAAGAGGAGGAAAAGCAGGAGGAGAAGCAGGAGAAGCAGGGGGAGGAGAATCAAGAGGAGGAGAAGCAGGAGGAGAAGCAGGAGAATGATAAGCAGGAGAATGATAAGCAGGAGAATGATAAGCAGGGGGGAGAGGGAAGAAACGATGTGGTGAGTGAGTGCAACCTTGATGCTGACACACGCTCAGACCCTTCAGTACAAGAGGAGTGCGGTGGCACGTCTGCCTCTACCGACATGTTCCACTCCACGCAAAAAGCCAGCCAGAGCACCGGTGCTGCTACTGCCAGTGCCAGCGCTGGTGCTGGTGCTGCCATCGCTGCTACTGGTGTTGTATCTGGCACCCCTGTTGCTTATCTGGTCCCTGTGGAAGAATCTGCAGCTGTAGAGGCTGCTGAAAGCACAGCTGCTGCTGCTGCTAATCCTATCGTTGCCAACAACCCCATGGCTCATCCCATTAAGGGAAACGCGATGGGTACCACTGGCGTGGCAGCAGGTGGCAGCGTGGCAGGGCAGCACTGGCATGTGAGCAGTGTGGTCGGGACCGCGATGGGGAGTAGAGGAGCTCGTGTGGAGGGCAGGGACAGCCGTGTCAACAGCAGGGCCAACCACGTGGAGAACAAACCCGCCCACGTGGGTGCTCAGTCTCACCCTCAGCGCACCCCTCCCACTCCCCCAGGTGCCCCTGCAGGTGCCCCCCCAGGTGCTCCCGCAGGGGGCCCATCAGGTAGCCCCACAGGCATAGCCAATGTGCACGCTGCACAGGCGCACCCAGGTGTGAGGGAGAGGCAGAGCCCACTTGCTGCGCCAGTTCCTGCCATGCCTCGTCTGCCATTCAAGCTCTCCACGAGAAAGGGATTGGGCTCTGCAGCTCAGAATGCCACACCTCCTGCTGTTGCTGCTGCTGCCTCTGCTCCTCCTGCTGCCTCTGCTGCTCCTCCTGCTGCCCCTGCTGCTGCTGCTGCTGCTACCCCTCGTGCTCCTGCTGCTGTTCCGGTGGCACAGCAGAAGGCACAGCGCGGCACCACAGGCATGGGTGGTACCGCAAGGGCAGTGGGAAGGACATGTGCAGTGACAGGAACAGCAACGAGGAGAAGTGTGAGCGGGACAAAGGGTGGGGTAGGAACGGGAGGTATGGTAGAGATGGGAGATGGCGTGGGAGCAGGAGGAGGGGGCGTGCAGGGGGGGGCAGCGGGGGAGGTGGAGGAGAGCTGTGGCTCGTGCAGCATGGCGGTGAGCAACAGTGTGAGGCACAGCCCGGGGGCGAGGCCCCACCCCAGTGCGAGGAAGCCTGACAGTGTGGCACAGAAGAGCCCAGCAGCAGGGCAGAGAATGGGGTGGAAGAGGCAAGAAGGTCAGGCCACGGCAGTGGGAAGGTCTGTAGCTGCATCCGCTGCAAAGCGTGGTGGTTCTGCTTCAGCTTCTGCGTCTGCCTCTGCTGCCGCCTCTGCTTCGGCCTCTGCAGTAGCAGCAGCTGCTGCCGGTGCTGGAGGTGTGAAGCGAGTGTCAACTGTTGGAGTGAAGGGGGCTGGAGGGGCAGCAGCAGCGGGGGCAGCAGTGGCGGGGGGGTCTAATGGAGCGGAATCGGCTGTGGGTGGGTCAGAGACTGGCGAGGAATGGAGCAGCTCCGGTAGCAGCTTCGGGAAGGGAGGGGCGGGCGGAGCGGGAGGAAGAGGAGTAGGTGCAGCAGGGAGCAGGCAGACGGCTCCAGAGAAACAGCAGCAACAGCAGGGTTCAGTGTCTGCCTTGCATCAATCACAGAACTCTGCAATGGTGCAGCAGCAGCAGTTTCTGCAGACACTGGCGTTCGGGCCAGAGTGGGTAGCAAGGAGGCGGGAGAAGGAAGAGCAGATGCAGCAGCAGAAGCTCGCAGCGGAGAGCAAAGGGCAGGTGGCAGGGGGTGGTGGCAGTAACGTGCATCAGCCGTTCAGCCGGCCGTTGTTTGGCGAGAGGAACGTGAGCCCGCTGAGAATGGCAGCGCCGGTGGCTCAAGGTGATGCCAGGACACAACCACAGCAGCAGCAGCAGCATGGGGTGGGTTCTGCAGGGAAATTTGAGAGAAATTTGTTTCATCAGACAAACCCCAATGGCTTCCCTGCACCTTCTCCTGCTGCTGCTGCTCCTCCTCTTGCTGCTACTGCCTCCAGATACTCCTCTGGGTCTGCTGACGCATCACCCCGCCATCCGCCCCCCTCCAACCCCTTCCTCCACTCACTCGCCCCCAGTAGCGCTGCCACCAGCACCTCCACCCCGCCTCTCTCCCCACGCGCACCTCCAGGCACCTCTGCCAACCATGCTCTCCCTCCTCTCAGGTCCAACCCCACGTCTCCCCGTGTCTCAGCTGTGGGTGGTGCTGCCGCGTCTCTCTCCCCGCCGCCCTCCCCGCGCTCATTCCACGTGCTGCAGTTCGCCATGGGGGGCTCTCCCAATGCCAGCCCCATGCACCCCCTGGCGTCCTCGCTCTCTGGTGCTGCTCACAGCCCCACTGTGGGACCCTCTCCCGCTGCACCCCGCAGCCCCACTGTGGGCCCCTCCTGTCTTGCGCCGCGCAGCCCTGCCCATCCGTCTACCCTGCCTCATGCCCCCCCTGGCCCTGCACCCCCTACGCACCCCACTGCACCGTTTCATACTCCTGTGAGTCCGAGGCATGGTGGCATGGCTCCATGTCCGCCCACCCCTCAACATCCGACACAACAAGCGGTGATGCATGGAGGATTGCATCCATTTCATCCTTCCAGTATGCATGGTGGCGTGTCGCTTTCTCCTTCCACACCTCCCCACCCGACACAGCAAGGAATGGTGCACGCAATGCGGGGCAGCACGAATCAAACTGTTGTGACAGGCAATATGCAGCAGCCTGGTTACCATGCACAGCAGTACGTGCAGCCTGTGCCACTTCACCAGCAGCAACAGCAGCAACTGCAGCAGCAGCAGCAGCAGCAGCAGAGCCCATACCGCAATCGGCCATGGCTCCAGCAGGAGAATCGGCAGCCATTCATTGCAGGGCCCAGCCCCAGTCCACCCCGATCGCCTTCCCCACATGCCATGGCTGCCATGCCCTTCGTCTCGGGACCCAGCCGCAGCCCTGCATGCACGCCTGTCGCCAGCCACACTCCACCAGCAGCAGCAGGACCATTCGTCCCTGCTGCCTACCACACTCCACAAGCACCAGCAGGGTTGCTCGCCCCTGCCCCTGCTGGCTACATTGGCAGCCCAAATCGCTGCGTTTCCCCCGTCCCCTTCTGTCCCTCGGGCAGCCCAAGGCATGCTGCTCCCATGTCCCCCAATGCTGCTGGCTCTGCCAGCCCTGCCGGCGCTGGCACGCCTGACAAAGCTACCACTTCGTCGCGCTATGCCTCCCCGCTGCCGGCTCGAGGGCCGGTGGGGAGCATGTTCTTTGCAGGGCCCAGTAGAGGCAGCGCTGCTGCTATGGTTGCTCGGAGGAAGCTGGAGGCCAAGGCTGCTGCAGCTGCTGCTAGTGCCGCCGCTGGTGGTGCTGGTGGTGCTGCTGGTGCTGGTGGTGCTGGTGCTGCTGGTGGTGCTCTTGCTGGCGGTGGTGTTGGTGTTGGTGGTGGTGGTGGTGCACAGGGGAGTGATGCAGTGGGAGCGGGGTCAGGAGCAGGGGTTGCAGCAGTGAGGGGAGGAGTGGGTGTAGTGGGTGGCACAGGGGCAGGAGGACCAGCAGGGAGTGTGGGAGGGAGTGGGGGAGGTGGTAAGGCAGTGGCAGCACAGGCAGGGGTTGGAGGAGTGCTGACATCATCATCAGCCATGAATGCACGACAGGGACTCGTCGGAGGGCCAATTGCTCCAGCAGGTGTGCCTGGTACTGGTGCAGTGCCGTGCTTGGGCCCTTCTCCTATCAGCGGTACAGCAGTGAGGGCACCGCATGCCTCTAAGGTGACACAGCAGCAGCTTCCCGGCCAAGCAACTCCGCCAAATGGACCAGTGATTCCTCCTCTTAGCAGCTCCACCACACGCAGGTGGTTTGGTGCTAGCAAGTAGTGTTATGATTGTAGTGTAGACTCTAGAGGCTCAAATTAGGTCAATTAGAGTTGAGCTTCGTGGTAACATTGGTTTTCAAGTTTCTGAAGGCGTGGGATGATTGACACAGTTCGAATAGGCGGTACATTGGTTGAACTTTGTTATTTTCGGAACTCAACGAAAATGATGAGATTTATGCGTTAATTACCTCGTTTCTGTCCCCAGTACCACAGAAAGGTATATCCTTGAGCATGCCGCCTTTCGGAGCGTAACGATGCATGGCTAACGAGGTACACTGGGTGTTGAGTCAAGGGCATCTGGAAGCTGCTGATTGGCTGTGTACATGCGTTACCGCCTGTCGAGGCGAAGATCACTGCGTGGCAAATCGAAGTTTTGTGAGCTGGAACCTGTACGGACCAGGTTCGACTCTGCCGAACCAGTCCAACCACCTGCAGTGCCCCCGGCCAGAGGCGCCCAGCCAACTGGACCCACGCCTAACTTCCAACCACCACAATAGCTCGGTCTCGGTTCGGGATTGGCCGTCTCTGGTCTGCTCTGGATTCTCGTCTGGCGGGGCGGTCTCCCCGTCTCGCTCAGCCCAAGGTTCAGGTTCGTCAGCGAGTGTCCGTCCACTGTCCAGCCTTTCCCCCGAAACTCACTTTGATTTGGTCCTTCAGCTCAGAAGGGTGTGGTGTGGTGGATGTGTGTGTGGTGTCAGGTCAGGACTACCAGTGGGTGCCGCTTTTCCTGTTTTATCGGTCACTGGCAAGAATTGCTGCTTGCTCTTCCCCAATTGCACTCGGTAATTGTAGGCAGCCGTAGGCATCTAGACTCAGACGTCTCTTTTAGGTCGTCGGGTTTCTAGGGTCTTGCTTCCCCTTGTCGTCCGTTCAACTGTCGCCAAGTGCCGGAATTTGCCGGTAACATGGAGCGGAGACCACCTACGTTATCGCCTAGTTCGCCGTCCAAGTCGCACGGTCGTCGCAGTCGGCCGTGGTACATCCAGCTGCTCGGCGAGCATTTCCAAGGAGCGTACCTCCTCGTCGGCTTCCTCGTAGCGTCGGCCGTCTTCACGATTCTGCCGGCCGGCTATCCGCGACCGGCGCCGCTAGATACGGCGTCGTCGACCGTCGGCGACAGCCATGCGATCTTCTCTGGCGTTCAGAGGTTAGCATCGAATATCGGATCCACTTGCAAGGCGTTTGTCATCCGTACACACCCGTATTCCTGGCTTCCTCCTTGATCAGTTCCTCTCGTTACTATCTTCAATACTATCTTCAAGTCTTAATGGAGCAATGTAATCTATATTGTCAATTCTCGTTTCTCCCGTCAATTTTGTGACTCTTGTCTTCTGACCTCATGACGGATCGAGGTTCTTCGTGACCTGATGCGTGACTCACGTTGCTGCTATTTATTAGTACTTAGCTACTTTTCATCGGTGCTTGTCTGTTCCTCACATCGATGCGCTGTTATGCCAAATCAGCTCGGCCGTGAGCCTCTACCATGCCAAGACGCCGGATCATCGCTTCATGGGAAAGATTCCTCTCGGGGTTCGCCGCACGCCGCTGCGAATCGTCGTTACTGGTGAGAATTGCGGTCATGGTGTGGGGTAATCGAGCTCGAAACCTCCTCGCGCTTCACATTAGAAGCATAGTACATATGAGGTTTACAAGATTTGCTAGTCGACCTACGCCTGTTCCATGAGTATGGGTTATGGAATTGGAGTAATAAGGCGTGCGTCGCAGTATGAATGTAGTTTGGGGAAGGTTAAGAAAGAAAAATGTTAGTCGAACCATGCCAGTCTCATTTATATCGGAACCCGATTATTAAGACATCATAGAGTCAGAGAAGTAAACGGAAATTGAGGCCATTAGTTAGTGACTTACTGCATGGGGCATGGGAAGATTTGAGTCCACGAGGGTTGGAGGCCCGACCGCGTTCTTCTTGGCCTCAGATGGTTGCACGTGGCAGCTTGTATACCATCGTCCATGGACAGAACGGAATGCTTTTGGATGTGGACAGAATGTTCTATGGCCCGAAATATTGTGATGGAACGGTTGTGGACATAATGGCTGGTTGAGCGCATGGATGAACTGTATCAGTCAACCTCCTGCTGCACCTCCGTCATTTGCTTCTGCCTCTCCTCCGTTGTTCATCCCTTTGCACCTCGTCCCACTCTTCTTGCCGCATCATCACTTCCCAGCATCATATCTAACCAGCATCGTATCTCCCAGTGTCTAGGCTCTCCCCAGTGTCTAGGCTCTCCCCAGTGTCTAGGCTCTCCCCAGTGTCTAGGCTCTCCCCAGTGTCTAGGCTCTCCCCAGTGTCTAGGCTCTCCCCAGTGTCTAGGCTCTCCCCAGTGTCTAGGCTCTCCCCAGTGTCTAGGCTCTCCCCAGTGTCTAGGCTCTCCCCAGTGGCTTCCACGTTCTCTACACTTTCACCACGTGATTCTGGTAGAAAACTTCTTATCCCCCTCTCTTCCCTCCCCTCTGTCCTCTGTGTTCCAATCCTCTCCCCCCCAACTCTCTCCTCAGTGCGCCAGGCGGAGCGGGGTTCGTGGGGAGTCATCTGGTGGACAGGCTGATGGAGTGCGGCGATCACATGATCGTGGTAGCCAATCTCTTATCCCCTTTCTGTCCACTGCTCTCTGTTCCACCTTTCTCTCCTCCACGCCTCGCCAGGCGGAGCAGGGTTCGTGGGAAGTCATCTGGTGGACAGGCTGATGGAGCGCGCCGACCACGTGATAGTGGTGGACAATTTCTTATCCCCCTCGTTCCCTGCCCATTCCATCTCAGGCGGGGCTGGCTTTGTGGGCAGCCACCTGGTGGACCGGCTGATGGAGCGCGGCGACCACGTGATAGTGGTGGACAATCTCTTTTCCTCCTCTCTCCCCTGCCCCCTGTCACTAATTTCCACCGCTCTCCACCCCACCAAACCCATCTCACCCACACGCCAGGCAGAGCGGGATTCGTGGGGTCGCATCTGGTGGACAGGCTGATGAAGCGGGGCGACCATGTGATAGTGGTGGACAATTTCTTATCCCCCTTGTTCCCTGCCCATTCCATCTCAGGCGGGGCTGGCTTTGTGGGCAGCCACCTGGTGGACCGGCTGATGGAGCGCGGCGACCACGTGATCGTGGTGGACAACTTCTTCACGGGGCGCAAGGAGAACGTGCAGCACCACTTCGGCAACCCGCGCTTCGAGCTCATCCGCCATGACGTGGTGGAAGGGCTGCTGCTCGAGGTCGACCAGATCTACCACCTTGCCTGCCCCGCCTCGCCTGTTCATTATAAGCACAACCCCATTAAGACGATCAAGACGAATGTGGCGGGGACGATGAATATGCTGGGGCTGGCGAAGCGAGTGGGGGCGAGGTTCCTGCTGACGAGCACCAGCGAGGTGTATGGGGATCCGCTGGAGCACCCACAGACAGAGGAGTACTGGGGCAATGTGAATCCCATCGGTGAGTTCTAGACCCTGGATTGAGGGTTTAGGGGTTGTTTGTGCTCCCCTCTCGCTGCTAATCATCCAGTGCACATTCAACTGTCCACTCTCCCCCTTGTGCTGCTACATACATCCATGTGCTACATGCTACATCCTTCCTCAACATCCCCATCCCCGCTGTGCTGCCACACCCGTCGATGTATGCATGCATGCAGGGGTGCGCAGCTGCTACGACGAGGGCAAGCGCGTGGCAGAGACACTGATAATAGACTACCACAGGAATGTTGTTGTGCTTTGCGCCTTTTCATCTCCTCTCCCCCTCCCCCCCCCCTCCCTTTTCCATCTACCCCATCCTTGCCGTGCTGCCATGGTCAATCATGTGGCCACATGCAGGGGTGCGCAGCTGCTACGACGAGGGCAAGCGCGTGGCGGAGACATTGACAATGGACTACCACCGCGGCGCGGGCGTGGATGTGCGCATTGCTCGCATCTTCAACACGTACGGCCCGCGCATGTGCATTGATGATGGCCGCGTTGTCAGCAACTTTGTTGCACAGGTGGGTGAATGGGTTCGTGGATGGGTACTGGTAGGTAAACCGGAGCGGTCAGAACAGGCCCTGTTGGTTGTATGCAAGGAGGTGATGACTGTGTATGACACAGACTCATGTGCGTGCATTCTTTATGCTGTGCTTCCCCTGCCAGGCCCTGCGCAAGGAGGCGATGACGGTGTATGGCGATGGGAAGCAGACGCGCTCCTTCCAGTACATTGACGATCTGGTGGAGGGGCTCATGAGGCTCATGGATGGAGAGCACGTGGGGCCGTTTAACCTTGGGAACCCGGGAGAATTCACGATGCTGGAACTCGCTGAGGTGAGCGCATGGTTCCCCTCAAGCAGAGGTGAGCGCACTACTCAAAGTGACTGCGCACTCACCATGCTCCTTCCAGTACATAAACGACCTGGTCTGGTGGAGGGGCTCATGCGAGTCAACGCTCTATCTATGTGAGTCGACGCCTCATGGAGGAGGAGCATTTGGGGCCCTTTAACCTCGAAACTCCTGGGGAATTCACCATGCGTGAGTTGGCCGAGGTGAGCTCATGTTTTTTCTTAACCAGGTGGCTTTTGAGAGTTTGTGAGATCACCATGCTTGAACTGGCCGATGTAAATTCATCCGCAATACAGCACAGCACATCTGCAACACAGCACAGCACATCCGCAACACAGCACAGCACATCCGCCTGGCCTCGCCGCTTGCTCCCCACTCTCCTCTTTGTAACTCCCTCCTGTCGCCATCCCCTCTTCCTCCCTTCCCCACATAATCATTGTCCCAGGTAGTGCGTGAGGTGATAGACAAGACGGCAGGCATTGCCGTTCAGGAGATTTCAGCCGTCCTGCCTTGGCCCCCCGCTTCTCTCACTCCCTCTTCTCTCACCATTCTCACCCCTGTTTCCCCCACCAGGTGGTGCGGGAGGTGATAGACAAGTCAGCCAGCATAGCTTTTCAGGAGAACACGGCGGACGATCCGCACAAGCGCAAGCCCGACATCACACGAGCCAAGGAGCTGCTGGGGTGGGAGCCCAAGGTGGCTCTGCGCCAGGGCCTGCCCCTCATGGTCGAGGATTTCCGGCGCCGGCTGTTTGGAGATGTGAAGGAGAGCCGGCAGAGCATTGCTGCTCAGGAGGAGGCGAAATGAGGGGGGTGGGAAGGGGGGCGTGAGGTGGAATGGAAGGGGATGGGGATAGGAGGGGTGGTGTGATATGACATGTGGCTTTGCTGACATACTGTTGTAGTGATACAGGTACCTCAATGTAGCTTTATACGTACATGCATACATGGCATCACCTTAGATTGGTTACTACCAAGTGCAGTGCAGAGCCCCTGAGGCTGGCCCCCGAGGCCCTGTCCAGTTCTACCATCTCGAAACTCCTGAAAAACTACTGGAAACTGCCATAACGGTTACCAAAACAGTCAACATTGTAGGGCATTCAGCACTCCAGCACACGCAAAGATGTGACCAAACCAAAAGCTGTTGTTTACTCGACGTGTTGACAAAACAATGTGATCTACAGCCCCCAGACCAGATAGTAACCTGCACGTCTATCCATCACCTACGCACGCACGTAGTATACTCTGTAATGGCTTGGCTTTTGAGCCAGCAAAATAACCTAGGTCGTATGTCCATGCACCACCTCCTGTAGCACCTGCTGCAGGTCTCTCATGCGGATGGGCTTGGCCAGGAAGCCATCCATCCCTGCACGTGCACACTTGTCCCTCTCATGCTTCAACACACTCGCTGTCAACGCATAAATAGCTGACCGCTGCTGCGCTTTCACACCCATCTGCTGCTGCTGCTGCTGCTGCTGGGGAGCCAGGCTTGTGTCAACGTTTCCACTACACACCCCCTGTGCGCCCCTCCCTGCTGGTACTGCTTCACCCGCATTCGCTTCTCCCACCACTCCCGCTTCAGCGGTGTGAGGGATGGCTTGCAGCCGTCGGATGTGCGTGGTGGCTTCAAAGCCGTCCATCACTGGCATCTGACAGTCCTGTGGAAGCAAGCACGCACAGCACAGGTCAGTAGGGGATGGGGTAAGAGTTAGGCAGGAAAAGTAACACGACAATGCAGCGGTGTGAGCAAAGGCCTTGCAGCCATCGGATGTGTGTGGTGGCTCCAAAGCCCGTCCATCACTGGAACCAGATCCTGTCAGAGAATGGACTGACCATGAGGATGACGTGGTAGTTGGTGGATAAGAGATGTAGCAGGGATAATGAGGGTGTGAGCATACCATGAAGATGACGTGGTAGTTGGTGGATAAGAGATGTAGCAGGGATAATGAGGGTGTGAGCATACCATGAGGATGACGTGGTAGTTGGTGGATAAGAGATGTAGCAGGGATAATGAGGGTGTGAGCATACCATGAAGATGACGTGGCAGTTGGTGGACTGACCATGAAGATGACGTGGCAGTTGGTGGACTGACCATGAAGATGACGTGGCAGTTGGTGGACTGACCATGAAGATGACGTGGCAGTTGGTGGACTGACCATGAAGATGACGTGGTAGTTGGTGGACTGACCATGAAGATGACGTGGCAGGTGGTGGACTGACCATGAAGATGACGTGGTAGTTGGTGGACTGACCATGAAGATGACATGGTAGTTGGTGGAGCGGCAGGCCTCCACGGCCTTGTGCCCATTCTCTGCCACATCACACGAGACTCGCAGGTTCCTCAGCAGCTGCACCACCACCATGCGATTCACCGCGTTGTCCTCCACCACCAGGCACCGCAGCCCGCTGAACGGGCCTCCACTACTGCCACCAGCAGAAGCAGCACCAGTTGCAGCACCAGCATCACCGGCACCACCAGAAACACCAGGCGAGTCTCTCGATCCTCTGCTTCTGCTCTGCACCTGCCTTGTCCTCGTCACCTCCTGCCTCGCACTCAAGCGGCACCCCCTGCACCTGAGGCATCCCTCTCTTCCTTTCTCCACTGTATCCCCCTCTTGCACCTCACCTCCTCCTCCTCCACCAGCATTTACACCATCTCCTCCACTCCCCTCCTCTCTTTCCTCCTTCCCTAGTCCCCTCCTGCCCCCCCACTTACACCCACACCCCCCACCACGAGCAGAATCCGTTTCTTCCTCCTCCTGCCCCTCCTCCCACTCCTCCCCTTCCTCCTCTTCCTCCTCCTGCTCCTCTTGCCTCTGCTGCTCCTGCCTCTGCCGCTCCTCCTTCTGTCGCTGCTGCTGCTGCACCAGAGGGTCATCAGCAGGCATTAACGGCATCGCCACCGCATCAGGCAGAGACGCACTCCCAACAACCTTCAGATCCGCCTCCTGCCCGCTGCAAGCAGGGGGGGCAGAGGAGGGAGAGAAGGGGAGGTGGAGGGAGAAGGTGGAGCCATGGCGGGGGGAGGAGGCGACGGAGATGCAGCCCCCCATGAGCGCGGCGAGCGAGCGACAGATGGAGAGACCCAGGCCCGTGCCGCCGTGCTTGCGGCACGACGAGTCGTCCACCTGCCGGAACGGCGTGAACAGCCGCGCCAGCTGATCCTCCGGTATCCCCACGCCCGTGTCCTGCACATCTATCCGCACCCACACCACCGCCGCCTCGCCTGCCTCTGCGGGTTGTTCTGCTTGCGCTGCTCCTCTCTCTCCTTGCATCTCTCCAGAACCACGCTGCACCTGCACTGGCTTCTCGCTACCTCTCTGGGAGCAGTGCAGGGCGTTTTGTTCGGATGTAGCCAAGGGAGCTTCTCCTCCTGCTAATGAGCATGCTCCTGGAGCAGCTGCTTTGGCTGGATCGCCCCCCTCCTCCAGCCTTTGCATGTCCTTCTGCTTCGTTCCCACTTGCACAGCTTCTCTCCTCTCTGCCCCTTGTGTATCCAACCTGCTTGTTTCTCCTATTGCTGCTGCTGCTGCTGCTGTTGATATTTCCCTTGTTCCTGCTTCGACGACTTTTTCAGGATCGATCATGTGCCCCCCTACTATTTTAACTGCCCCACCGGCCAGCCCTTCCCCCTCAATCACCCCCGTCCCACCACCCAAGCCAGTCAACACAGCTCCCCCAGCCACCACAGCAGCATCGGCAGCAGCGTCGGCCCGAGCCAGCACAGCCCCAGGAGCATTCCACGAAGCTTGGCGTGCGAGACGCACCCCACTCTCTTTGCCGCCTCCTCCTCCCCCTCCTCCTGCCCCTCCTCCTCCTCCTCCTCCTCCTCCTCCTCCTCCTCCTCCTCCTCCTCCTCCTCCTCCTCCTCCTCCTGCCCCTCCCCCTCCCCCACCCTGTTCTCCCTTTTGGACCTCCCGTCCTCCCCCTTCCTCTTCATGCCTCCCACGCCCTCCCCTACCCCCAGCACTCAACCCACGGCCTCCACCCCTATGGCACCCGCCCACACGAGCCCGTTTGGCAGGAGGGGCCTTACCCACCGACCCCTGCTGCGCTCCCGCCTGCGCCCCCTTAAAGCTCCCTTCACCCGCCCGGCATGCTTTTTGACTCGCCTCACAAGCCACCCCTTGCTTGCCCTCACTGCCCCTTTCACCTGCCTCACAAGGGCCCTCGCTCACACCCTCGGCCAGAGCGCTCATGTGGGTGGCAGAGTGGCACGTGCGGATGGGTGGTGCTGCTGCAGGGAAGGAGAGGGACGGCACAGGGAGAGGGGGATGCAGTGGCGGTGCGTGCGGCGCTGCAAACGGTTTCTGAGGCGGCTCAGAAATCAGCCCTGGGAGCGGAGGGTGCAGTGGCGGGGTGTGCGGCGCTGCTGCTGGCGCTGCTGCTGGCGCTGCTGCTAGTGTTGCTGCCTCTGCTTGTGCCTCCTCTTGTGCCCGCAGCAGCAGCAGCTCTGCTTGCTCGTCTCTTGCCCTTGCCACTCCTTCAGAACAAGCAGCAGCAGCGGCGGCGGCGGCAGTAGCGGTGGTGCCGGGAGGAGGGCCATTGGTGGTCCCAGGCTCAGCTTTGGACGGCCCAGACTCATCGTTCAACAGCTGTGCATCTGGTGAATGTGCTTCTACCGAATGAGCTTCTATTGAGTGTGTTTCTAGTGCGTGTGTGCTATTTGACTCTCCCTTTTCTGAATGAGGCTCAAGAAAGTTTGTACCAGCAGGGTTGTGAGGAGCAGCCAGGTTGTGAGTAGCAGAGAGTGTGCAAGTATCAGCAGAACAGTGAGTAGCTTGAGATGGGGAAGCAGAAGGAGCTTCGTTTCCTGGCAGTGCTGACGGCATGTGTGGCTGCCTGTGCAGGTATACTTGCACCTCCACCTCTCCCCTACAAGGGGCACGCAGCAAGGGGAAGAAGAGGGAAGAAGCAGTAAGAGAGCGGATTAGGGCTTCGCACTGCTGCAGACGTCTCACTCACCCACCACCACCACACACATACCCACCCACACTCACCCGCACTCACTCACCCACCACCCACATAGCCGGCCAGCCTCTACCTTACACTCATATCTGCCACAACCATTACAACCGCGCACTCACACCCATCCACACTCCCTGCAACCGTGCACCACACCCATCAACCACATGCCACACACCTGTCAGTGAACTTGATGGCATTGGAGAGCAGGTTGAGCAGGATCTGGCGCACGCGAAACTGGTCTCCCAACACACACGCCGGCACGCCCTCCCCCACATGGCTGTGCAGCTGCGATAGTGGGAGGCAACGGGTGGGGGAGGGGGGCGGGCAGGGGAAGATGGTGGAGTTATTACATGGAGTGGAGATGACCCCCCTACACACACGCCGCCATGCCCTCGCCCACACCAGCGCATGCGCAAGCACGTCCACCGCACTGCACCCATTCCTACCTTTCCATGATTTCATCAACCCACCTTGAGCTCCTTGCAATCAGCAGCAACACACTGCGACAACGTCCTTCGTAGATCAAACGAATTCCAGTCCAACACCAGCGCATGCGCCCCGACCAACCCACTTACCGCACTGCACCGCGTCCCATCCTTCCATCAACCCACCCACCCACCTTAAGCCCCTTTGCCGTCAGCACCAGTGCGAACAAACAACCGCCAGACACTGCGAGAGCGTCCTCCTCAAATCAAACGGATTGCGATCCAGCACCAGCGCTTGCGCCTCGATGAACCCACTTACCGTACTGCACCGCTTCCCACCTTTCCATCAACGCACGCACCCACCTTGAGCCCCTTGCCGTCAGCAGCAGTGCGCACAACAGCAAGGCACTGCGTTAGCGTCCTCCTTAAATCGAACGGATTCCGGTCCAACACCAGCGCATGCGCCTCGATCTTGGTAATATCCAGCACATCCGATATGATATGGATGAGCGCGGTGCCGGAGGAAGAAATAACGTCGACGTAGGAGCGCTGCTGCGGGGTGAGGGGCGTGCGGAGGAGCAGCTCGGCGACACCGATGACGCCATTCATGGGGGTGCGCAGCTCATGGCTCATGTTCGCCAGGAACCGGTTCTTCGCCTCGCTCGCTGCCTCCGCTGCGTCTCTGGCTGCTCGGAGCTCCTCCTCCTTGCGCTTGGACTCGGTTAAGTCGTGCCACACGGCTAGGAGACAGGATTCGCCTCCGATCTCTATGATCTTCACCTTCACCTGCAGCAGTTGGGGCGAATAAGAACACGTGCATGAGGTTGTGACTGAATGAGGATGTGATTCGCTCGCTGCCTCGGCTGCGCCTTTGGCTGCTCGGAGCTCCTCCTCCTTGCGCTTGGATTGGACTCGGTGAGGTGGTGCCACACGGCTAGCAGGCACGACTCGCCGCCAATCTCAATGATCTTCACCTTCACCTTTGGGTGGAGGGAAGAACACGCATGCAGGCACGCACACACCAACACACAAGAGTACAGTTGGCATCTATTTGTTAGGAGCAGCAACGAGCTTCCCCCTCCTCCTCCTCCTTGCGCTTGGACTCGGTTAAGTCGTGCCGCATGGCGAAGAGGCATGACTCGCCGCCGATTTCTATGATCGTCACCTTCACCTGTGGGTGGGTGGGTGGGTGGAACAAAGACGAGCATGTGCATGCATCGGGTTGGAACTCGGGGCTCATCTTGGCCACTCGCAAGTTGGCCAGGGCCCCTCACATCATACCACATACCTGTACAGGAAACTGCTCGCGCGCAACAGCCGTCAACCCACGCACCCACCTGCAGCATGATGGGGTGCCCGTCAGCAGTGAGGTGGCACCACTCGAACTCCAGAATGGTGCATGGTGGAATGCCTTTCAACACTCATCTACCCCTTTACTTATACCCATCCCCGGTCACTACCTGCAGCATGATGGGGTGGCCGTCAGCAGTGAGGTGGCACCACTCAAACTCCACCACCTCGCCGCTCATCATCCTCCCATGCATCCCCAATATAGCCTCCCTTGACCGCCGTCCATCAGGCTGGAACTCGGGGCTCATCTTGGCCACTCGGAAGTTGGCCAGGGCGTCGGCTCGGCTGCGGAAGCGCATCAACCGCACCGCCGCGTCGTTGCACTCTATGAGCGCCATGCTGCTGGAAAACACCAGGATGGGCTCCTGGTAAGAGGGGGTGGGAAAGGGGTGGAGATTGGGGGCGGAGGGAAAGGAGGGGAAAGAGGGGTGGCACATTGATTGAGGGCAGCGCATCAACCATACTGTCGCGTCGTTGCACTCTATGAGCGCCATGCTGCTGGAAAACACCAGGATGGGCTCCTGACAGTGGGAGGGGAAGGGAGGGGAGGGGGGGGTGGGGAACGGGGGGTTGGCTTAGTGGGCAGCAGGTGTGGCAGGGGTGACAGGATGGGGGGGTATAGGACTTGGGGATCGTTGCAGTTGATGCGCGCCATGGTGCTGGAAAAACACGTGCAAGCAAGGGCACCTAGGGGTAAGTGGGGGTTATGGGGGGAGCTGGTAGATGGCATGGCATGGACCATGGCGTGGAGGGGCGCAGCAAGGTGGTGAGTAGAGTACGAGGACGGGCACGCACCATGGAGAGCTGGTAGATGCCATGGCATGGAATTTGGCATGGCCCTGGCACTCCTGAATGTTTAGTCGACTCAAAGCTCACGACATGCAAGGGATGGCAAGGCAAAGTCATGGCATGGCATGGCATCGCACCATGGAGAGCTGGTAGATGGCATGGAACTTGGCATGGCCCTGGCACTCCTGAAGCGTCGCCCTGATCCCCTCCACCACCCTCATCGCCTCCTCCAACGCACTCTCCTCCTCCTCCCCATCCTCTCCTTCCTCCATGTCCTCCCACCCCTCCCCCTCCTCCCCCTCTCTCCCCCCTCCCCCCCCCACACCAGGCGCAGGCGGAGGGGGGGTCTCGTCAGGGGGATAGGAGGGCCAGAAGTGGTCAGGATAACCGTCCGCCCGCCGCCCCACTGCCTGTGTGCGCCGCCTCCCCCTCCGCCTGCGCCGCTGCTGGGGGTGAAGCTTGAGGGGCGGGGGAGCGGAGGCGCTGGGGGCGGCGGGGGCACCGGGGGCGGCGGGGGCACCGGGGGCGGCGGGGGCACTGGGGGCGGCGGGGGCACCGGGGGCGGCGGGGGCATTGGAGACCATGGGGGCGCTGGGGGCGGCGGGGGCACTGGAGACGGTGGGAGCACTGGGTGCGCTGGGGTGATGGGCGCATGTGAGGTGCTGTGGGGGGGGGCTGGCGGAAATGGCCTGGTTGGGGTGGCTGGGGTGGTGGGGGGCACTGGCAGCGTTGGGAGGGGTGGCAGCAGGATGGTGAGCGGAAGGAGCAGTCGCAGTAGCGGCAGCAGTAGCTGCATGGGGCACGACAGCAGCAGCAGGCGGATGGGACGGGTCAGCAGCAGCAGCAGAAGCAGCAGCAGCAGAAGCAGCAGCAGCAGCAGCAGCAGGGGGGCCATGGGGAGGGGATGCATGGGGCGGTGGCGCATGAGGCGGGGGTGCCACATGGGGTGGGGGAGGCGCATGGGGCGGGGGTGCTGCATGGGGCGAGGGGCGAGTCCCGTAGTGTTTCTCAACAGCGTCCCCCCATGAGACGGGGTCGGGGGGCTTCACCTGCGCCAGATTCGTTGCCAGCTCCGCACATGCTGTGGCGTGCTGCAGCAGCTGCGCCTGGAGGAGTGGAGGGGGGTGCAGGGTGGTGGTGTTGGGTTTGTATGGACTCAAAGTGCATGAGGCAAGGTGGGGGGCTTCACCTGCGCCAGATTCGTTGCCAGCTCCACATTCGCTGTGGCGTGCTGCAGCAGGGGAGGAGTAGAGGGAATGGGGGGTCAAAAGGGGTGCAAAAGGGTGCAGAGGGGTGGTTTTGTGCTGACTGAAAGGGACAAGAGTTGGTGGGATACAGAGGGGTGCAGAGTGGCAGAAAGTGATGGAGAGCGGTGAAGATAGACGCACGAAGGCATGTGACGGAGGAGCTGAGACAGAGTGGAGAAACAAAACGGTGAAGAGCGATGGGGCATACCTCAAAGGTTTTTCTCATGGTGATATCGTGGAAGAGACAGAGAAGCCAGGAGTCAGCATGTGCACATGCAGTTGTGCATGCACCATGGTGCTCCATCGCACCATGGCCGGATGCGCATGCACATGCGTCATGGTGTTGCATCAACCCATGAGTGTATGCACAAGTATCACAGCCCGGAGCTGACCCATTCATCCCTTCCACTACTCTTCCACTCCCCCTCTCCGCTCCTTCCGCCCACCTTGCGCCGTCCTCCGCCCTGCGCCCCCTCTCCTCCTCCCCCAGCCCGCCCATCGCCTCTGCGGGATGCAGCAGCGCAGCAGTGGCGCTATCAACGCGCCACACGCGCATCTCATACCATCTGAAACCACCACTGCTGCTGCTCATGCTGCTGCTGCTGTTAATGCTGTTGTTGCAGTTGTCGCCGGCTCCGCCCCTTCCCTCTGCTGCTTGCGTTGCTGCTGCTGCGGGTACTACATCACCCCTCCCCTCTGCAGCCTGCATCAACCGCACGTCCACGGGTCGTGCTGCTCTGGGTGCTGCTGCTCCCGATCCTGCTCCTGTTGCTGCTGCGCCGCCTGCTCTTTCTGCTCCTGCTCCTGGTGCTGTTGCGGTTGGGTGTGAGAGCGCATGCTGCAAGAACACGAAGCAGCACACATAGAGTCATGCTTTCAACCGGCGTCGGGTACCAGAAAGCACACGCCTTGCCAACCCTGCTGTCACACCTTCACTCTCCGCTCATACCTACATTTTCCTGTCAGCACTCTACGCTCCTGATGTAATGAGGTGACTTCTGGGTTGACCCAACTATCTTACTTTCACCCTCTTTAAGCTACGCTCTTAATGCTACGCTCTTAATGCAATGGGGTGCCTATTCAGTCGACTCAACTGTCATACCTTGACTTTCCTGACTTCATCCTGGTGGATCAGCTCCAGCAGCGACCTTCCTAGAACCTTCCCTTGCGCAATCCTCCCATGCTCTTCACTTTCCCTCGCCGGTGCTTGCTGAGGCAACTTGACGGCCACTGCCGGCCACCCGGCAGACTCTTGCCGCGTCTGCCGTTCGGCCGTCACTGGCAGATTTGCATCGCCGGCAACAGCGCGAAGGAGAGCGGCGCTGCGCACACGCGACGACGACGCGTCAACACGAAGGGGGAGGGAGAGGAGTGGGGAAGAGGGGGGCCGGAGGGGAGGGGGGGAGAGTGGGGAGGAGGGAAGAAGGAAGACGGGGGAAGGTAGCATGTTGGCACGAGAAAGGTCCGAATCTATAGAGGGAGACGTGAGGACTCCCGCGCGAGTAGAGCGGGTGAGCGATGGAAGCGAGAAGAGCAAATCTATAGACATAACTGACGCTTTTCACACAAAGCCTGCCCGGCACTTTGAGAAAATAACATTTTTCGCGCGGTGCGCCACACCGAACAAGTGAGTCTACCTCGACCGTCTTTCGCGCGTACCTGCATTGAACGATGCGAAAGTCTCTCGCGGGAGAAATAAGCGCGGCAGGGACTGCTGCGAGCACGAGATTAAGGAGCGAAAAAGCTGGAGTAGAGGATTCGGCGAGTGAGAGTGGAAAACATTCGGGTCGCAGATTGAGACGCGCTTCGCTCGGAACGCTGTGCTTGCTGGCGTCAGTTGCGAAACCGGCTACCGCTCCTAGCGACATGATTCGCGAAAGACGTAGTTAATGTCGTGTGAACGTGGTAACGATACCATGTGAGACGTCAGCTCGACGTGCGACACGCACATTATAAAGTGACCTTGTCTGTGGTTGTTGCCTCGATAAAGCTGACATGCTTCACTGACTGATTCACAACACAGATGCTCATATGAAGCATACCACTGCTCACAAGTCTGTGAATGCCAGCTGCACGCTATTTTATTGAATCGACTTTGAAAGTTTCATTCTGGTCCGCAACGGTATAAAACGGTGGACTTCAGAACCGTTCCCAAACAAGGGTGACCGTATTAGACCGCGTCATACGACCTATTAACGAAAAAAGTGTGGCCCCACCCCACTTGGCTATTTCATCGCTGTACTACAGTCGATGCTCAGCCTATCACAAAACAATTGCTCCTCACAGTTTACAAATTTAGTCACTCGCGAACGTTTTGCCCGTGAGTGACTAAATTGACAATTCTGCCGATTTCGGGGTATAGTCACCAGCTTGCGGAAGAAAAACATCTACAGTTCATAAACAACAACGGTTGCCTGTCATCAGAAAAGTTTACCTGGTTATGAAATTAAATCCCGTGTCTCGATTCACATTGCAATTTCATATTACAGTCACATTTTTTGCCCGTGGCGACAAGGGCGACAGTGGCGAATTTTCAGAAACACGTTTCACTCACATGCCGCCCGCCTACCTGGTGTTCTTGAAATGAGCACCGACTGTATATCGGGTCGGGACTCGGGAAGCAACTGACGTAACCGAACAGGACTTCTGAACATCGCACTTGTGAAGAAACGACGAGAAGCTGACTGGTGGCGGTGGCAGGCGTTTGGTCAAATCTGGTGGGTGGGGGTGGGTGTGAATGGTCTGTTCCTGGGCGGATCGAGCGTGTTTCTCGGGGGACGAAGGTTTGGATGAGGGGGAAGAAGGGTCATCATTGGCAGCCTTCCCCTAAGTGAGCTGTGCTGGCAATGCGCGCCAGCAATGCTTCTCCGCCGCCCCTTTGTTCCGCAGATGCCCCTTTGTTCCGCAGATGGCGTTCGGAGAACGACAGGAGGACCGTGCACGTCAAGCGCAGACGCGTGGCGCAGGGTCCCGCAGACAATTACAAACTCGGTGTCCGCTGGACCACTGGCCACTAGGTAGCTTACAAAGAAAGCTACCCAGAAGCATAAACGACAACGAAGCTTAGTACACCTTGTTTCTCAAAGTTCTGACAATCGAGAGCCCGGGCTACAGTCCGAACGTCCGCTTGGATTTTGCGGGCTGGTGCTTGCAGCCGAACCCCAGGTAGGTGGCGGGCAAATGCAGTCCATTTGAACGATACAAAACGTTTTATGACAGAACATTACTATCGCGTACGGTTGAGTGCGGCAAATTGTGCTTATATGCAATGTTCTGGGACCGTTTTGGACGCGTTGATGTCAGAATAGGTGGGATGTCAATACAGCGAATGTCAGTGTGGCTCGAAACAGGGTGTAGGAAAGTTCTTCCCTCTCCTTTCATGAAGTGTATCCAATCAGCACTTGGCATCTGAAATGTAGAACCTCTTGATCTCTAGAACAGGACTAGGAGACGGATTCATAATTGAATAAATAGAATTAGATGTTAATCTACATTGGCTGATTCATGGGTACCATAACTGCTTGCCCATGGTGGCAAGCTGCACTGCATGTTTTTACCTGAGGCTTAGCCAGCACTTGGCTCAACACCTGCTGCAGGTCTCTCATGCGTATCGGCTTTGCCAGGAACCCATCCATCCCCACGAGAGCGCACTTGTCCCTCTCATGCTTCAGCACGCTTGCTGTTAATGCATAAATAACAGACCGCTGCAGCGCCTGCTGATGGCAATCTGTCGAACATTGCTGCTTCTGTTGCCCCTTTCTCACATCAGCAGAGCAGCAACCTGGCTGTCCGTTTGAGGGCGATTCAACACCCTGAAGGCTGCGAATGCGCGTGGTGGCTTCAAACCCGTCCATGACTGGCATGTGGCAGTCCTGCAGGTGACATCGGGGGTAGAGAAAGAGGAGGACAGCAGGTGAGCTGCAAGTGGATGCGCGTATATCCCTCGCACATGAAAAGGGGGTCTGACAGCAGCCAGATGAGAGTGTGTGCCGACCTCGAAAACAGTGAGACACTTGGTGGATATAAATCGAAGGGAAGCACCAGACAGGAGCACGGACTGACCATGAAAACGATGCAGTAGTTGGTGGAAAAGCAATCAAGAGCAGCCCAGAGAGGCACAAGGACACACCATGAAGATGACGTGGTAGTTGGTGGATAAACGATGTAGCCGGGATAATGAGGGTGAGAGCATACCATGAAGATGACGTGGTAGTTGGTGGAGCGGCAGGCCTCCACGGCCTTGTGCCCATTCTCTGCCACGTCACACGAGACTCGCAGGTTCCTCAGCAGCTGCACCACCACCATGCGATTCACCGCGTTGTCCTCCACCACCAGGCACCGCAGCCCGCTGAACGGGCCACCATCCCCGCCGCTACCAGCAGCGGCAGCAGCAGAAGCAACACTAACACCAACAGCACGCGCCACACGCTTGCCTCCTCCGCTCCTCCCATCCCCACTCCCCTTGGGACTCCCCACAGCAGCAGAGGAACATTTACCCGCAGACAACTTCCTCGAACATCCCTCATCCCGTGAGCCCCCTGCCTTCCCCTCCCCCACCTCATTCACCGACCCTGTTCCTGCTGCTCCTGCTCTTAGGGCTGCTGCGTCCTCCTGCCAACGCACCCCCCGCCCTCGGCCTTCCAGCTGGGTGAGTCTGGCGTCACTCAAGCCGCACGAGTCAAGTTCAGCCACCACCGGACCCAGCCCTGAGTTCAGGTAGCTTTCAAACGGCCGCGCAGCAGGAGGGGCGCTGCCAATCTTAGCAGTCGTGTCTGCAGCTGCTGCTGGCGCTGCTGCTGCCTTGCTAGAAGAAGCAGCAGCGGCGGCAGAGGCAGCAGCGGCGGCGGCGGCAGCAGCAACTGCAGCTGAAGTTGTTGGCATTTGGTTCGAGACGTGGTGAGGGCGAGAGGGAGACTGCCTGGTGGGTTGCAGCGGCAGGCACACCGAGAAGGTGGAGCCGTGGCGGGGGGAGGAGGCGACGGAGATGCAGCCCCCCATGAGCGCGGCGAGCGAGCGACAGATGGAGAGACCCAGGCCCGTGCCGCCGTGCTTGCGGCACGACGAGTCGTCCACCTGCCGGAACGGCGTGAACAGCCGCGCCATCGCCTCGGAGGAGATGCCCACGCCCGTGTCGCTAACGTCTATTCGCACCCACACTGGTGCTGCTGCTGATGCCAAATTGCCTTGCCCTGCTCCCCTCACAGTCGTTTCCTCCTGTTGCTGCTGTTGCTGCTGCTGCTTCTGCTGCTCCCTGCGAAGCCGCTTTGCAGAGCTCATAGGAGCAGCGTTAACCTCTTTAACCTCTGACCCTGTTTCATCCGCACCCACTGATTCCTCCCCTCTCGCCCTCTTGCCAAGAACCCCACAATCACTCTTCTCCTCCACCTCCCGCATCTCCTCTCGCTCCCACCCACCCCCGCACACCCACCCGGCACAGCCCCCCTCCGTCTTCCCTCGCTGCAGCACCGGCCGCTCCGCACTGGTGGTAACCGCGATCCCCACAGTGCCAGCATCAGTGAACTTGATGGCGTTGGACAGCAGGTTGAGCACAATCTGCCGCACGCGGAACTGATCGCCTATCACTGCCTCGGGAAGCTCCCCACTCACGCTGCTCGTCACCTGCAGGCCCTTCCTGCTAGCAGCCGATCTCACTGCATCTAACGAATCCACCACCGTTTCCCGGAGGTCAAACGGGTAGGACTCGAGCGCGAGAGAGTGCGCTTCGATCTTGGTGATGTCTAGCACGTCTGAGATGATGTGGGTGAGCGCGTTGCCGGAGGAGCAGATGACGTCCAGGTACATGCGCTGCTCGTCCGTAAGGGGCGTGCGGAGGAGCAGCTCGGCGACACCGATGACGCCATTCATGGGGGTGCGCAGCTCATGGCTCATGTTCGCCAGGAACCGGTTCTTCGCCTCGTTTGCCGCTTCTGCCGCCTCCTTGGCCGCCTTCAGCTCCTCCTCCTTGCGCTTCATCTCAGAAAGGTCGTGCCAGACCGACAGCATGCAGCGCTGCCCATCCACCATAATCTCTCTCACATTCAACAGCACGTCGAACGGCGTCCCGTCGGCGGCCAGGTGGCGCCACTCCACGACGACCGTCTCGCCGCGCAGCATGCGCGCCACGTTGACGGCTGCCACGTCAGCCGTGCGGCGGCCGTCGGCTTGGAATTCGGGCGCGCCGGAGAGGGCGTCGAAGCGCGCGATGGCCTCGGCCTTGGAGGCGAAGCGCATGTGGCGGATGGCAGCATCGTTGCAGTCCATTATGCGGAACTCGCGAGACACTATGAACATGGGGTCCTGGTTGGTGGGGCAAGGAGATTGGCAGGCGGGAAGAATGGGAGGGCAGGGAGGGCACTGACGAGGGAACTCGCGGAACTCGCGCGAAACTATGAACATGGGGTCCTGGTCGGTTGGAACTGGGAAATGGGGAGATAGGGAGGCGGGGAAAGATTGGAATGGGGTGTGAAGGGAATGAAGGGAAGTTAAGGGACGGACAGCAGGAAATGGGTGATTGGTGTGACTTCCAGCTTGTTACTGTGCTGGGTGCAGAGAGCAGAGATGCATGTAAGAAGAGCGGCCAAGGGAAGGCAGGGAGGGCACTGACGAGGGACATTTCGAAGATGGTGCGGAAGACGGAGTTCTTCTGACTCGCTTGCACCACCTCCTTCACCCTCCCCACCAGCTCCAACGCCGTCGCCACTGGGTCACTCGCCTCGCCACCCTCTCTCGCCTCATCCCCCCTCGCCTGCTCGCCTCTCGCCTCCTCCCCTTTCGCCTCCTTCCCTCTCTTCTCCCCCTCATTCCCCTCGCTCCCACTTCCCTCCTCCCCTCTCCTCTCCCGCCCGTCTGCTGCAATCCCCAGCCCTTCCCCTGCCTGTCCCCTGTCGCTGCAATTCCGATCGCTTCTGCCGACCCGTGGCGACTCGCCAGCTGTCGCAGCAGTACCAGCGCTCGCCCTCTGTGAGCCATCATCGTCAGCGTTAGGGTTCCGCGGGTCGCCGCTGCAAGGGGGACTTTGCGCGGCGTCAGAGCGACGCGCCTGTCGGTCGTCGCCGCGAGGGCTGTGTGGCGCGTCGTCGTCTCCCCCACCCGCTACGCGCACGGCCATGTCGGCCGTCCGCCGCAACTCGCGCACAAGTACGTCCTGCGCAGACCGCGGGGAGGCGCGTGAGACGGCAGAGAGGGCGAGAGTGGGGGAGCGCGTATGTGAGACAGCGATGACGAGGGGAAGCGAGCCGACAAGGCGGAGGCAAGGTGAAATCTCGGCATCCGTGCGAACGACGGTGGGTGAAAGCGGACCCGTGATTCACGGCGAAAGCTGTCGCGACGCGCGAGGCATCGCGTGACGCGCGGTGCAGGACTCACCATGCTTGCTCGCCGAGCGGAGATCTCGTGGAACGTCGCGAGAATGCACGCCTGCGCCGCTCCCTCGCCGCTACCGCCGGTGCCGTCGCGAACCTCTGCGGCTGAAGAACCTTGAACAGGAAGACTGTCTAAACCCTTCGGTGTCGCCTCGTCCCGCTTCCCCGACGATGCCTCTTTCGATGCAGCGAGAACCGGCCGCTCTGCGTGTTCCGTTCGCAGACGTGCTCTGTCGCGAGCATCGCCTTCTTTGCTGCGACAGTCGCCTGCTCTGCGAAACGCATCGCCGGCGACGACTCTCGTCACGAGCGACATCTCAAACCATGCCCACTGCGAAGCCTGCGAAATGGTCGCGTTCGCGCTCGCGACGGTTTCGTCGCGGTGTCGCTCGTTGCTGACTCGGAGTCGCACGTCGAGACGCTTCTGCTTAGGGGATGAACTGGCTCGAGCGAACTCGGCCATGATTGGCTGGACAGACCGCGGGGAGGATTTGAGAGGCGAGATGGAGAGTTAGAAGGTGAAGGACCGAAGCATGACTCATGCTCGTGCCAGAAAATAGTTGTGAGATCGTGTGGGGGAGGGATTACGTGTGCGATCATGTTGCTACTAAAAACCAGGGGGAGCGAGGAAGAGACAGAGGAGAGGAAGGGTGCGAGGGAGAGCGAGAGAGGGAGAGTGGAAGAGGGAGAGAGAGAGGGAGAGATGGACGGACCTCCACGGCTCTTGCATCTTCTGAGTGTAAAAGTTCAGCTATTCGCTTCCCTCGAATAGCCTCGGGCTTCTCTTCAAGAATTCTCATCAACGCATGGCTGCACACGCATCAAACCGAGGGGTTAGCGTACAAATTTAGCGACGAGGATAAGAAGCAAGGGAAACGACACAAGGACCAGAGAAACAGTCTAAAAAAAACCGAGAAGTTTGGAGTAGAATAGTCTGTTAAAGATTGCTGTACCTGCAGTGAGCGATGCGGAAACCGTCGTCGCAGGTAAAAAGAGCCGCAGGAATAACATCTAGAAGCATCGGACCGAGATATTGACAGTGGTGGTGAGAAGGCGTGCTCGTATGCATTTTCTGCTTCTGAAGCTCTGTGCGAGGCGTGCTAAGCGGGGTATGCTACACTACTCCGTGACCTCTGGTCACAAGTAATTAGGGATTCAATCTACGCATGTGACTATCGATTGCTATTTAGGAGCCTAGCGGGTAAAAGAACGCGCGCTCGTTGATCGTACTCGGACTAAGTGAAAAAATAAATAAGGCCTTACGAGTCCAGCAACATCAAACCATTGTGTGACTCTGCATCTGCATTCCAAAGCTAATGAAAGGTAGCGCATAAGCTGGTCAATCTGAGTTCCAACGCTTGGAAACGAAAGCGCATGACTTGTCACGGAAGTTTCTTAGCGATGACGTAAGTGAGTCCCAGAAGCCTAATGATATATGCCGCGGGGTGGTACTGTAATCCCAAGAGCATTTCCTTCCAAAAGCTCCAACAAGCCTGATCAAAAACAGAATCAAGTGCTCCTAGAGAACATCGCATTTGGCCGAAGTCTGCGCACAACAGTCCCTCTGAACGGGAAAGGTTGCTCCAAGGGGTCCTACAAAAACAGGTAGCCGTGTGAAGCAGCAGTTGATAAGCAAGAAACACAACCGAAAGAATTTGGGTAGGTCTGCCTGCATCTAAGGAGCTTTTACGCGGTAGACACTGGTTGGATGTGATGTAATGTGGCGACGTACGGTGTGGGATAGGGAATGAGCACATGATGAGGAGCAGGAAGGGGAGGTGAGAGCGGGGAGGGAAGGACGTGTGGTAAGGACACGTCACCTGAAGCGGATCGATCGGCTGGAAGATCGGTTTTGCGCATGGGGTGTAGCACTGTAGCGTCATAATCAACAAGGTAACTTAATGTCGTGAGTATTCGCAAATATACAGTAAAAATGTGCCCACGAACCTGTCACCTACGGGAGCCCTGATCGATACAGCGAAGTAAAAATATCGAGCTTGAGATTGGGTAGCGGGGTGTGGAATTTCGCGCCACAAGTGACAGTCAGTTTCGATTGTTTTCGCTCGTCATCACATACCCTAGGTTTCCCAGTGCGATTCTGCGCACGACAACATTGCTGTTGTCGCAGGAGGTTACCACAACCCCGTAACCTGCCATACCGAACCTGTCACCTGTATATCGGTGCGCCGTAGCTGCGCAGCCATGGGCACCGATCTCTACCGAGCTTGGGCTCGAAATGACAATCGGTGCGGATCGGCCGATCTTCGGCTGACCCGCTTCACGTGACGCGTCCTAGGGATGCGAACGTGAGTCGCAAATGTGACGTGGCGAGACAGGCACGCGAGAAGAAAGGGCAGCATGCCTCTCGCGTTTGTGAAGGCTCGAAAATCGTTTTTGGAGAACCCAGTGCAACCAAGGGTAGCTCATACAGCATCGGGTTTTTTTCACCGAAAGCAAGCACCAGGCAGAAGAGAGGGTTACAGCGCTGCAAATCTCATCATGACAGCCTAGAAGTGATGTTTACGATTATGTTCGTGAAGGCGAGGGTAATCCTTTGTAGCCTCAGGGACGCGACAGTGGCGGGGAAGACTGATCCTTGCCGTAGAGCAACTTCCAGGATGTGGCAGTGTGCGCGGATTTTGTGAGCCACGCAGGACCAGCTGTTGGGATCGGATCGTAGACCAATGTCCATTTTCCCCAGGCAGATCTGTGTGACCTCTTTCAAAAACTTCTCTCCTCCCTGAGAAAGTGCTCTGTAAATAAGTGCTCTGTACAGCGCGTAGAAAACATGAAAAAAAAAAAATCAAGCAACGTTGGAGGGGCTGACGTGGTGTATAAAAGGTGCTGGCAACGATGGGAACTTTGTGAGGCAAAAGACAAGGACAAGAACCACCGACACAAGAAATGCTGTGAAATGGCTGGCCACGCGGGAGCAGTGGAAGCTGAAACCACAGAAATGTGTACAAGTGTGATGCAATCTTCCTCACAAAAAGATTGCCTAGATTTGCACAATCCAATAAGTCTGTTTGAGCGCGTTGTACGTTACACACCAGTTGTACCTGACTAACAAACAGGCAACATTTCGACCACTGGATGAGGGTTGAAGACGACTGACGTGTGCGCGTGCCCCCCTAACATGAACAGCACCCACTCTTGCGATGTGATCCATTAGAACTGTGCCGTTACCAGCTCGCCTCGCCATGTTGTGTAAAGCCCAGCGGCTACACATATGCAATTGCTTACACTACAAATAGTCGACCATTGCAGTAGCAAATCAAGGTTTTAGGCGTCATTCATTCAATTGAGGGCCCGTATTCACACGCAGCGAGCCACTTCCTTCAGCTTTCTTCTCTTTGATTTCAAGCATCAACTGACCGAGCACCTGCTGGAGGTCCTTGAGCCTTATTGGCTTGGCAAGGAAGCCATCCATCCCTACACTCACACACTTGTCCCTCTCATGCTTCAACACGCTCGCTGTCAACGCATATATGACCGACCGCTTTCTCCGATGGTGCGGCTTCTCCTGCTTCGATCCCTGGTCTCCTTCTAAACACATGCCTGATTGCACTTTTGGCCCTTTGATTGCTTTCTGCTCCTCCTCCTGCTGCTGCTCCTGCTGTTCCTGGTGCTGCTGTTCCTGCTGCTTCACTTCAACAGCATCAGACATTGCTCTCTCCCCGTCACCACCATCACTAGCATCGCTGTCTTCTGTTTGCAGCTGACGTATTCTTTCCGTGGCCTCAAACCCGTCCATGACTGGCATGTGGCAGTCCTGCCAGCGACAAGGGAGGTTGCGGGGAGGCAAAAAAAAAAAGGTGAGCTTCACGCAACTCTCCATGAGTGGAACTGGAATGCAGCATGGCATGCACCATGAATATGTTGTCGTAGCAGCACCGAGCGTAGTTTAAGGCGCCTCAAAACTAGACTCCCAAGAATTTGAGGCGCCCCAAAAGCAACGCACGCACCATGAAGATGATGTTGCAGCAGCACCAACACCGTGCGCATGCCTGCACAGCCTTCCACCTTTTAAGACCTCTCAGTCTCCATGAATGGGATGCAGCAAGGCATGTACCATGAATATGATGTCGTAGCAGCACCGCGCACACGCCTGCACAGCCTTGCTACCGTCCTCAGCCACATCGCACGCCACCTTGAGGCTCCTCAGCAGCCGCACCACCACCATGCGGTTCACCGCGTTGTCCTCCACCACCAGGCACCGCAGCCCCGCAAACCCCCCCTCCTGCTCTCCTCTGCCTGCCCCTGCCTCCCCTGACTTCCTGCCGCCCTTCACTGCCGCTCCGCTCATCCCCGCTTTTCCCCGACCCTCGCTCTCCTCGTCACTGCTGCTGCTCTCATCCTCCCCAGCCTCCTCGCTCTCCTCCCCATCCACCTGCTCCTTCTCGGACATCCCACCCTCCCTTGGTCTCTTCAGCCTCACTCCACCTCCTCTTCTCCCTACACTCATTGCCACAACCTCCCCTGGTACTAATCCTGCCCCTCCTGCCCCTGCTGATCCTCCTGCCCCTGCTGCTCTTGCTGCTCCTGCTGCTTTCCCTGCTCCTGCAACTGCAACCGCTGCTCCTGCTGCTGCTGCACCTGTTGCTAATACTGTTGGCGCATCTAAACTACACTTCCATTCCATCGGTTGCCCTCCTCCCACAGAATTACCAGGTGTGGCCATGACCCTCGCACTTCCCCCCCCTCTCATTTCCATTCCTGCTCCCACCTCTGAAGCTCCTTCAACCCCCTTCCCATCCTCCTCAGCTTCAGGTCCACGCCCTTCGCACATTCTCTCGGTCCTCCTTGCAGCAACCTCTCCCTCTGCACTTTCCAGATTTCCCCCCCTGATGTCCGGGATCCATAACCCCGCCCCTCCATTTGCATCCAGTCGACACGTATTGCCTGCTTCCCCACCTTCCCGCCCCTCTTCCATCCCTTCCCCGCCACCCATCTGCTCCCCCTCTCCGCACATGTCCCCCTGTGGCCACTGCTGCTGCTGCTGCTGCTGCTCATTCTCATCCTCCACCTGCTGCTGCTGTTGCACGTGCCAGAAGGGAGGCAGGCAGGATAGAGGGCTTGGGTACCGAACCACAGGCGGAGGTGAGGGGGAGGTTTGGCGACGAGGCGAACGAGAGGCTCGGTGATGAGGTACGGCAGAGGCTTGGTGTAGTGGTGAGGGAGTGGTTCGAAAATGTCTCAAGGCCTCATCCAATTCATCTCCTTCCTCTCGCTCCCTTCCTTCCCCCTCCTCCCTCACCCCGCTCCTTCTCCCCTCCCCCACCACCCCTCCTGCAACCTCACTCGGTTGTGACCACAGTTCTGCTTCTCCTCCTTCCGTTTCACTGATTCCTGCTACAGCTGCAGCAGCAGCTGCTGCTGCCTCTGCGGCTGCAACAGACGCTGCAGAAACCCCGTTCCTTCCACCCGTCTTCTGCCCTTCCCCACCCCCTCGCTCAACATTCCTGTTCCCCTGCATCTCCTCCCCCAGCCCCTCCTCCCACGCCCCACACAGCGTCGCACCCCCCCTCTCCTCCCTCCTCACATGCACGTCCCACGTGCGGGAGCGGATGAAGGGGAGGTGGAGGGAGAAGGTGGAGCCGTGGCGGGGGGAGGAGGCGACGGAGATGCAGCCCCCCATGAGCGCGGCGAGCGAGCGACAGATGGAGAGACCCAGGCCCGTGCCGCCGTGCTTGCGGCACGACGAGTCGTCCACCTGCCGGAACGGCGTGAACAGCCTCGCCATCGCCTCGGAGGAGATGCCCACGCCCGTGTCCGACACGTCTATCCGCACCCACACCTTCTCCTCTGCTGCTGTTTCTAGCGCACCTGCTTCTATCAGGTCTGATCCTATTGTGTCTGTTTCTACTGCAGCTGCTTCTATTGCATCTGCTTCTATTGCACCTGCTTCCGCCGTATCTGCTTCTGCCGCACACGGAGTGATGCTACCTGCTCTAACCACACGGACCGCCATCTCTTCACCATTCCCAGCAGCTTCACTGCCAGCAGTCAACTCCACTGCCGCAGCAGCATCGCTGGCAGTGGTAGCTGCTGCTGCGCTGGCAGAAGTACTCCCAGGAGGAGGAGCAGCAGCAGTAGCAGCAACAGCCGTAGGCGCATCAGCCGTGGTAGCGAGGGTGGCAATGCGGCCATACACTGAAACATCACCACACATGACAGCATAGACACGGGTTCACACGATAGCAGCAGCATTGGAACAAACAGCAGCAGCAGCAGCAGCGGCGGCGGCGGCGGCGGCGGCAGCAGCAGCAGCAGCGGCGGCAGCAGCAGCAGCAGCAGCAGCAGCCGCAGCAGCATCAACAGCAACCACAGCATGACTGCTGCAGCAGCTACCTTTCACCAATACACGACACTTCGACGGGCGACCAACACTGACACGAGGTGCAGTGAAGAAAGCAACACAAAACACGAAGTGCGGGGAGGGGCACTGACACGAGGTGGGGAAGAAGACGTACCAGTTTGGTCTGAGGTTGCCTGCTCCTTCCACGCCTGCTCCCCCCGTTCATGGCCCTCCCCTTCGCGCTCCCCTTTTTCAAGCCCAACCGTTTCTTTCTCTGTGAAGCTCCCATGGCCATGCGCGTCGTCCAGTATCCGCTTGCCCAGCTGTCCCTCCCCACGCACCCCTTGCCTTGTGCCCTCGTCTGATGGCATTACAGCGGCAGGGAGGGGGGAAGGGGAAGAAAAGGGAAGAGGAAGAGTGGGGAAGGGAAACAAAGTTGGGGGGGAATAGGGGGCAAGGGAAAGAGGGGAAAAGGGAAACCGGGGGAAAGAGAAAGATGGGGGAAGGGAAAGAGGCGGGCAGGGAAAGAGGCGGGCAGGTAAAGAGGCGGGCAGGGAAAGAGGCGGGCAGGGAAAGAGGCGGGCAGGGAAAGAGGCGGGCAGGGGAAGAGGCGGGCAGGGAAAGAGGCGGGCAGGGAAAGAGGCGGGCAGGGGAAGAAGGGGGAAGGGAAAGAGTGGGGACGGCAAAGAGTGGGGACGGGAAGGAGGGGGCAAGGAAAGGAGAGAGGGAGGGAGGGAGGGAAGAGATGAGAGACGGAAGAGAAAGATTGAACAAGAGAGCAAGGTATACAGGTGCGTAAAGCGGAGTTTGGGGTAGGAAGCTGTTGCGGTGCTGTTGCGCTTACCTTGTGATGGCGGGTCGCAGAGAGAGACTCTTACCCTCACCTCGCCCCTGCCAGAGTGCGGGGAAGGACGAACAAAGGGGAAGCAAGGGAGAGCGGACAGACAGAGCAGATGGTCATCATGCGATGCACTGAATGACTCGCAAAGAGGTAGAAACCCTTGAGGGTGTTTTTTGTGTCGTAAAAAAAATATGCACTGAATGACTCGCAGAGACCCACTGCTGCACTTGCACAAGCACAGCAGCCCCGCAGCGCAGCCCCTCGCAGTGACCCTCTTGCCACAGCCCAGCAGTTAACTGCTTGCTGCACACCTGTTGGTGAAACTTGATGGTGTTGGACAGTCTGACTCACCTCATCCCACCACACAATCACACCCACCCACACTCCGTCAAACCGCACTCAACATTCATGAACCACACTCCACACACCTGTCGGTAAACTTGATGGCGTTGGAGAGCAGGTTGAGGAGAATCTGCCTCACACGGAACTGGTCTCCTATCACCATCACAGGCAGCTGCTCACACACGCTCACATGCAGCCCGAGCCCCTTGCTATTCGCCGCCACGCGGATCGCACTCAGTGCCTGCTCGATCGTCACATGCAGATCAAACGGGTACGCGTCAACCACGAGCGAGTGCGTCTCGATTTTAGTGATATCGAGCACGTCGGATATGATATGCATGAGGGCGTTGCCGGAGGAGCAGATGACGTCCAGGTACATGCGCTGCTCGTCCGTAAGGGGCGTGCGGAGGAGCAGCTCGGCGACACCGATGACGCCATTCATGGGGGTGCGCAGCTCATGGCTCATGTTCGCCAGGAACCGGTTCTTCGCCTCGTTTGCCGCTTCTGCCGCCTCCTTGGCCGCCTTCAGCTCCTCCTCCTTGCGCTTCATCTCCGACAGGTCGTGCCAGATGGACAACAGGTGCTTCTCCCCGTCGATCACTATCTCCTGTGAGGGTGTTCGTAACAGTGGAAGGAAGTAGAGATATTTACAAGATAGGTAAAAAAAATCTGCAGACAATCAGAAAAAAAAAAAAACTTCATATATTGTATCATTATCAGTATTCCTCATTAACATATATTTTTACACACACACATATATATATATATTAATACACTTCAAAAAAATCACACACACACTTACCCTGACAGTAACGAGCACCATGAAGGGCTCGCCATCGGACGCCAGCGTCTGCCACTCAAAGATGACCACCTCGCCGCGCAGCATGCGCGCATGGTTCTCCATCTGCACGTCCACGGAGCGCCGGCCGTCGGGCTGGAACTCGGGGGAGAGCTTCATGAGGTCGAAGCGCTGCAGCATCTCCTCGCGGTCGCGGTACTTCATGTAGCGCACTGCCGCCTCGTTGCAGTCCACCAGCTTGAACTCCTGTGACACTGTGAATACTGGATCCTGGAAGGGGAGGGGAGAGTGGTTCTGAGGTTGAATGTTGACATGTGCAAGTGTTTTACATTGGAAGGTACTTCATGTAGCGCACCGCCGCCTCGTTGCAGTCCACCAGCTTGAACTCCTGAGATACCGTGAACAAGGATGGTGGGGGTGGCAAGGATGGTGGGGGCCGAAGTTTGGGTTTTGGGTTTGAGAGCTTACATTGACTTGAGCCCACGGTCAGGTGAGGGCCAGACGTGGGTCCCGGCTAATCCCCTGAGACTTTGCCCGGGGACTTTGCCCGGGAACCGACGTGGGCCGGCTAATCCCCTGAGACGTACGCAAGTGAGCAATGACCAGCAAATGCTCACCAGGGACATTTCGAAGATGGCTTGGAACCGGGAATTCTTGCGGCTGTGAACCAGCAGCGTCTTGACCTGGTCGATCAGGGCTGAGATCTCCCTCACCACTCCACTCGTCGCCGCGTTATCATCCTTCCACCCGCCTCCCTCTCCTTTCTCCTTGCCCTCTTTCCTTTCTTCCCCTCCCTCCTCACTCCCCTCTTCCCCCTGTCTCCCCTTGCCCCCGTCTGTCTCTCCCCCTCTCCCATCACCCTCCTCCCCCCTGCGCGCTTCTTCCGCCGCCGCGCCACCATCCTCCCTCTCCCCCACGGGAAATTCACTTACCCCACCTCTCTCACTCTCGCCGTCTGCTGCCGACTCGATTCTACTAGCGTGCCCTGCTGCTCCTGCTGTTTCCTCCCCTGCTGCTCCTGCTGTTTCCCCCCCTGCTGCTCCTGCTGTTTCCGCCCCTGCTGCTCCTCCTATTTCCCGCGACTCCCCTGACGCGCCTTCCCCCGCGCCCTCTCCTGCGCCTTCCCCCCTCGCGCCTCCCCGCGTGCCTTCCCCTTGGCCCTCCTCGTTTCGAGGGGGCGGCGCGCTCCTAGCAAGCTGCACGCACTCCTGCAGCTGACGCACTACGTACTCCGCGCTCCCGCGCCGCGCCGACACGTCATAGAACACGCATAGAAGCAGCGGCTCGCGGCTCGCGCGTACATTTAGTATGAACCCTTGATCTGAGACTTCCTGGTCCGCTCCACCCTGACAGCGTTCTATACAGCGTCGATCGTGCGACACGTGTCTGTCGTCTACGGTTTGACGGTTAGGTTCTAAGCTACTTAAAGGGTTAGCGAGTGATACTGCGACTTCGAACCAGCTGCAGCCATCAGCAGTTCCTGAAGTTCGTCGCCGGCTTGACGCGTCGGTTTCGTCAACGCTTGGCGACAGTCGCACGTCCAGTCGTTTGTCGCAGGGCGCTTGGGGCTTGGAGCTGATATAATTCGAAAGGAGAGCCTGTAGCGACGGGAAGTATACGATGCGGAGACCAGGGAGAGCAGGGAAAGAGGAATTGAAAAACGCACGATTATGCTGTACAGGAATCGGAACTCAGATGAATGAAAATACGCACGCAGAGAGAATCTTTCGAAGCAAACTATTATCCCATTTGGAGGCAATTGGAGGCCATGGACCCACCTCGAGCGCCTCCGCGTCCTCCGCATGAACAAGCTCCCTGATTGGCCTCCGTAATACGCCCTCGGAAGAGTTAAGACCTAAGAAATTCACTAACGCGGAGCTGCACTGCGCGACGCGGAATCCGCCATCCGCGGTAAGGAGCGCCGCGATTATTACTTCGTCAAGGAGAGAGGCGACAAGCGGGGAAAATTGTTCGGTTGGCGAAGAGAACATGTCTGAACCGAAGCTAAGGAGACAATCCAGCGAGTCAGAGCACATGGTCATAACTGGAGATTAGGCACGAACGCCACGCCGACGCGAGATTCCTGAAGAAAGGTGAACAGGGTGTATGAATATCAACGCACGCTGTGCAGCACGTGCGACGCGACGCGCGGCGAGGTTCTGTTACATGGTTCAGTGTCAGCAATACGATCCTGCGAGGCCAGAAAGTTTTGCGTGGAAGAAGCTCAGCGAGGAGTAGTACATGTCTAACAAATTCCCAGCCAAGTGAAACAGTCGGAAGTTTTTTCTTCTGTATGTATGTCACTTGTATCTCAGCAGCAGCAACAGCAGCAGCAGCGGCCGTGAAAGACTGCCGTGAGCATCAAAACAGCTTGGTCCCTCCCTCAAACTTGCCGTGGCGAGCTGAGGGGCTTGGGTGAGATGTTGACAGATATTCTGGCGATGACGACAACGACGGTGCCTGTCATCCGCTCTTGGGTGAAAGGGCGCGGACAAACGGATTGGGTTCAGGATTTCTTTGGCTTCCTCTCGCCCGAGATTCACGAAATGAATTTTCAAGATTGTTAAAATGCTGCTTGTTTGCCAGATTACAGGGGTGGAGAAGAGCAAAGTTGGGTTTTGCTTGGAATGTCAACCTTTCATGAGGGGCAATTCTCTGAAAAAACTACACAATATTGCCCCCGTCCCAAACCGCCAGCCAAATCCCGCCACAATACGAACCTGTTGGTGTCAGTCCAAACCCAACCGAACTAAGAGGGTGTCTCAGATGTCTGAGTCCACGTGGGGTGCGGCTCGGACCTGACGGACCAGCTCAAGAGCCAGCGCGTGAACCAGGGCGGACCGGGACCAGGATGTGGGGCTTGTAACCCCGTTATACCGTTCGAATGGCACTAAAACGGTGCCATTTATTTGGCCCTCCAGACCAGTCCGCGCCTGGTCCGTAAACAGTATGTGAGGAACCATTTGTTTTGGCGAAACTTTTTGTTTTGTAAGTTTCGCGTGAGATTTTTGTGCAGACGAAGAAAATGGGTGACTCAATTTCAAATTCGTCGCTACAGCTGCATCTCGCAAATACTGTGCAGCCCGATGCGCGACGTATCAGGCAGACCAGTCCGTGTCTGGTCCAACGCTGGTCCGCCAAGTGGGTCCATCGGACCAGAACCCCGGACCAGGCCAATAGATTCTGGTCGCGGACTAGATCCAGCGGACCCCCAACATGAGACACATCCTAAAGATAGCGGATGCGGGCCAAGAACCAAAGGCGGTTGTGGTAGAGCGTTTTAGGATGTGGGCCCAATCGACTTTGATCGGCGCTATCAGAGGCGATCAAAAGCTTCGAGGAAGGCGGGAAGCAAGGGGGCAATCAGCTGATCGCGATCAGCTGATCGCGCCAACTCAATCAACCGCCTCAAACAGCCCGATCAGACCCGATCAGACACAATCAGCCCCAATCACTTGATTGCATGTGATCGGCGACCTGGGCGATGTACGCGAAATGTAACACGTCTCGCCATGAGGTCTCGAAAATCCTTGCGAATACACCAGATCGGCGATAACTGTATGCCATAGCCATCTTGCGGACCTTGTGCGGTGCGGGCGATGTTGGCGACATTACCACGATACTGAAGTTGGGATGCAACTACCAGGTTACGGGCCGACATTTTTCATGCAAGAGCGCGAAACATTCGAGGAAAATCATCTCTGATCGTACGGCGCGAGGAAAACGAGCACAAGCAATCCGATCCGACCCAACCCGATCCGATCAGAGCCGATCAAAGTCGATTGGGCCCAAGGCGGTTACTGTACCAGACCTCTCTCGGTTCCTTGTTTGGGAGATTCCAACAATTCCCTGCACAGGTTCTTGCTAAAGCACACTAGAACCGGGTCTGACAGGGCATCCGGTCGTCAACACATCCCGTGAAAATAACTGAGTTCGGGCGAAATTTTAGTCCCGTGAAAAAGACGAAGCCGCGTCAACCCAATCTGCGTTTCGACTGGTTGGGTGCAGAGGCCGTCCTTCGTAAGACAAGCAAAGGCGCTTTATTGGCGGACCGAGGTGGCAGGACAGAAATGGCGCCTGATGCAAAGTACAATAAGTACGGTGCGCTGTGGTACTCAGCGTTTCGGCTAGGCTCTTTTGGTGATGGAACGGGATCTTTTCACACGCGCCAAAGCAAAGATTGGATTTGAAATCCTTTTCTTTTGTATTCTTCTTGGCACGCTTGCGGTGTGTGCAACAGCTGCTGGCTGGGAACATGGTTTCTAGTTTCCTGACCGTATGTAGGAAGCTGATCTTATGACCCTTATAACGATATTGACAGTTTCCAATCAAAATGTAGCATTAGCATCTCCAACATTTGTCAATGCCAATGCACCACCCTCCGTGGTGTTGCAACTAGCAACCCGTAAAAAATACAGTACCTGCGCTCTAACCAGTCTTGTGAGTATCTATTAACGAGTATGGAAGTAAGGTCACCTTCCCGCCAGAATGGTTCACGACTCGACAATATTTAAAACCAGGGTCTGACACTAGCCAGCAAAAGCGTTGACCGCGGCTCGTACAATGCCATCTGTGTCATCTCATGATTGGTACTAACTATGGACCATACCATCCACACCATGCCATCCCAAAAAGCCCCACACTACTGTTCTCCGCCCGCTTCTGGACCTTCCCCTCTGGTCATGACAATGTAACACTTTTCGCTTTCATTCCAAATGTTTCGCTCAAGGCTTCTTTCCCGCGAACTGGCCGGCTGTGCGCGAATCAGCGCAGCACTGTTTCCGACAAGGCGCGCGGCAGCGTTGTTCTCGCATTCCTTCACTTTCATTCGCCAAATATCTCCCGCCTCCCGCCGGTCAGCGGAACCTGGCCACTCACTCTCCAGCGGCCTCCCCCTCCGGCTTGCAGGGACTGGAAGGGGAGAGGACTCCTCCTCCCCCCTCACCTTTTGTGGTTCTGCATGGCGACTCCGCTCGCTCTCTTTGGTTTCCTTTCCTCGTAAAGCATTTCAACCGCTCTCAACCCTCCCATCCTCTCCTCCCTTCCGTCTATCTGCTTCACTTCTCCCCTTCCCAATCTGTAAGCCGCTATTCTCATCCGTGAATGAGTGTCTTTCACAATTCTCGACATTCCCTAGGCAGCGTAATCTACTGGTGTGACACGAGTTAGTCTTGGTAACTCGGCTTCTTAGAGTCCATGGCTTCCTGTGCTGTGACTGTAGCCTTATTCGCACTCCTGTTAATGGTAGTAAAAACTTTTAAACTATTTAAAAGTTCCGGGTTCATATCGCTCACTTCGACTGACGACCATCAGCCTGATTATTCAAGTCTGCCAGGGATACGACGGACCATCAGAGTTACGGCGGTCGGCCGGTAATTACCAGCAGATATAACATCGGATCGGTCTCATCAGCTCCCGTTTCATCAATTTTGTTGAAGAAACTTCGCGACGTGATTTTTCTACAGCGGTCGCTCAGATCCAGCAAGCTCGTCCTAAGTCGTTCCACGCAGTCTGCAAGAGATGATGCGATGGTACGACGGAAGAATCGTTCAACGCATTTGGCGACGTTACGACGGAAGAATCTCTCCACGCCGTCCGCAACGTGACGACAGATGCGACTTTGCGA